AAAGGATATAATGGAAATTTAATTAATTATTTATGTGCATTTTAAATTGATAAATTGATTATTTGTTTTGTGTGCATTTAAATATGATTTATCTGGCTAAGTGGTTAATTGTTTTACTTGTTTAAAATTGGTATTGTGTATTTGTTTTATGTTGTTTATTTATTTTAACTTAATTACGTGCAATTGGGATTTATTTTATTTATTTGATTAATTGGTATTTTTTTATTATTACGTGTTTTTAAATGGTTTGTGTGACTTATTTGATTTAAGTTATATAGTTGTAGTTATATTTACGTTTAGGGTTTTGGTGTTAAGTATTTTGGTTGGCCGACTTATACTTGGGCTGGAATTAGGATTAGGGTTTTTTTGCATGAGTCTATATATATAGAAAAATATTTGTCTGCAAGACACCCTTTTCACGTAATAATCTGGAGAGGTAAACAGAGGGAAACTAGAGAAGAGAGAAACAGAGAGGTTTGAGGGGAAAAACACAGAGGGACACAGAGAGAATCAATTAAGCGTTCATCTATGGACTAAAGGTGTACCATAAAGGAAGGAAGAGGTTGATGCTGAGATAGAACTGGAGCAGTAGGAGAGTTGCCGGTAGTCTACAGTTCGTCGGAGAAGTTAGCAACGGCGTTGAAAGGTTTCAAACCGAAACCTAAAGGCAAGTTTCAGACTATCTCTTTCCCCATAAACTTGTGTTCTGTGCATCTTATATAGACTCCAGGAACTTAATTAAACTATTAAAAACGGATTTTATGCATTGCTAGATGATTTCTGAAATCTGTTCTGTGTTTTTAAAGTTTAAACCCGTTGTTGCTTAAACTATTCTGTTGTGAGTTTAATTTCTGTCGTTTGATTACACTGGAGTATGAGAGGTTCTAGGACTATAAGAACTTAAATAGAATCCAAAGAATGCTACAAAAGTTTGGGATATGACACTGGACTTCGCCGGAAGCGAAGAAAAACTGAATTGGTTGTTTGCATAAACTGTTTTTGTCTTCAAATTAGATTTTTGCCAAACTATTCTTAGGGAAATCAAAGGAATTTATAGGAGTATTAGGGCTTAAATTGAACTTTTAAAATCCTTAAGAAACTTAGGACAGACAATTGGAACTTCTGCCGAAAGCAAAGACGAAGCAGTGAAGCAGAGAGGGGCTCTCAGGGGTGAGAGCCGGCTCCTAAATGGTGGGAGCCGGCTCCCATGAAGAGAGAGCCGGCTCTCCATGAGGGGGAGCCGGCTCTAGAAGCCTAGGAGCCGGCTCCAATAAAGGGGAGCCGGCTCCCATGGGAAAAAAACCCCTACGGGGTGTTTTCTGCAATTTTTTCGGAGTTCTGGGGTTAAACGCAAATACTGAAAATTAAAGGGGGTTTCAAATATGTTAAAATTAACCTATTAAGACACTTAAATAGTTGGTTTATGCTAGGGTGCTACTCTTAAGGGGCATCAGGAAACAGAAACGTGGAATAGACATGCTGTCAAGGAAGGATGAATGTTTAAGTTAATAAGTTTGTTTTAATAACTTAAACTGACTGGTATCGAATTACTTTTGGGATGTTATATAAATTATTTATATACTTTAATGGAGGCCAGAAAGTTCGGTGTAGGATATGGGCATAGACAGTATTAACTTAGATATTAAATGGTATGTTGTCAGGAGTGGTAGGAATTTTAGTTGCTAGTTTTGGTTTAGCGAACTAAATGGACTAGTATGGGAATACTGTTGGGGTTTCATATAATGAGCAGTTTGGAATTCAGAGTGTCATATTATATCAGGCACAGGTTTTGGAGTGGAGGATCAAAGGGACGTCATGTGGTGTAAATGCTAACTTTCATGCTGTTAAGGATTGTGGAGGATTTCATTACTTGTCTTTGTTTTTGCAATTTAAATAATATAATATGAGAGGATGGTTTGGGATATCTAGTATGATGTATTTAGTTCATATTTCTGGCTGATCATTATAACAGGTTATGGATGTTAATTGATGAACTGTTTAACTTCTGTTTTATCAATTGTATGGATGTGGATAATATAAATTGTTTATCAATACTTTAACAATTTATTTGGAGGATTAATGATTATAATCATATACTGGATGCATAAGAGGATCTTAATAATATCTGTTTTCTATTATGCTGGTTTCTGGATTTATTTGATGTTCTAATGAATGTGCATCGTTTATGGATCATTTGCATTATATGTACCGGTATGGGACGGTGACATATCAGGGATGGATTAGATCAAAAAGCTAAGTCCTACCCCTTCTTACATACAGAATGGATTAACTAAAATAGTTAACTCCTACATGGATACACGTCCTGTCAACTAAAACAGTTGAACGACATAATGGATGCTTGTTTTATCTTTCGGCATTAGGAAGGAATTTATATATATATTTTTGGTACTGTGATACGAGCTTGGGTCTCCTGATCACGGTTAGGGTGCGTATATCGCAAAGGTTGAGTAGCTAGATATAGCAAATGTTCCCTGGTAGGTCTAGGTACTTGGCCGCTGAAAAGCGTGTTTTATAGGTCACCTTCTACCCAGGCTGAACTATGTTATAGGCTAGTGAGCATCCTATAGTGTGTATTTATATATCTATGGACTATTGTAGCTATTGTTGAGCTATCTAGGATGTATCTGCGTATCGGGTTTATGTACGGATTGTAGTAGGATGGAACTTGCATGTGGGCCTGACCCACCTTTATTTTTCAGGTGTTCGTGAGTACTAGGCTTAGGGTTTGATCGTGGTGATGCAGATACAGTCACTCACTCTTCCGACTAAATAGGATTTTTCTTTCTGGTTTTAGTTTTGGATTTTATTCTGTAAAGTTTTATCAGTTGAGATTATTAGGGGTCCACTAGTTGGATTCTCGAGTTGTACGGATTGGAAAGTTAGTTTATATTAAAACTTTTATTTTTGGAGGAGGTTTTACAATTAGAATTCTTTTCAGCATATCATTATTTTATTCTTAATTCAGTTTTATTCCTGCTTGTTCATGTATTGATTGTCTGGTATCCTTCGGATCTGTGCCCGGACTTGATCACCCGTGGCTCTAGAATCAAGGGGTATCACATCACCTGAACTGAAATCAGCATTTTTTGGGTATTCAACAATTTCCACCCCCGTGGGGATCTCAAATTCCTCCATTACGGAATCAATGGTGAACTTGATACGCCAAATAGACAAAATCATTTCCCTTTCCTTTTTTGTAAAAATACTATCTGATTCTGCTTGCGATACAGAATCATCTTTTCGCACAACAAAATCATTCATAGAGTCGTGAGGATTAGAAACTCTAGGAGAAGGAGTTCTAAGTAGAACGTGAGATGACGAAGGTGTGGATTCGGAATTCATAATCTCTATGTGGTCGTGGGTGGGTGAATTTTCATTATACGAAATCAAAAAGATAGATAAAGAACAAACCTGATACCAAGACGAAGTAGTAAACGCGGTGAAGGCAAGAGCAAGTTTTGAAGAAATCCTTTGGTCAGAATGGCAATGGTCACTTCTTGAACCGTCTCTTGCAAAAATTGCAACCGTGCAAAATCAATTCCCTTTTAGTTAGGAACCGTAGTTCAATTTAGGAGGGAATTGGGGGTAAAGTGTGGAGGGAAAATTCATTCTCCAATAAAAATCAACCACGCCATTAAAATTATATACAACCCCAAATCCTTCTCTAAAAACCCAATCTTGGTAAAGCCCAAATACAATTGCCATCGACCCAAGATTATTAGCGTTAACCTTTTGACTTGTTATAAATTCATCCGGCCCACTCACATCCTAGTCCAAGTCTAGTTCAAATTAAACAAAGTTCTGTTTACTTAAGGATTCTTCATATAAGGAAGTTCTACATAAACTTCGTTAGTAAATAATTATATATAGAATAAATTAGAGGACAAGCATGGCGAATTCTACCATAATTTCGACCTTAAATGAAAGCTTTCCTCTGAGTTATTCTTATTAATTGTTCTTTTATTTTGAGTGAAGTTGTATTTATTCTTTTAATTTTTTGGTTAAACGAGTTTTTACACTTACAAGTAGCAATTGAATTTTTATAATGATTAAACTGTATGTAACATAAGTTAATATATTGGTGTCCAGTAGAACAAATCATAGATGTCATTTTGGAAAATGCAGTAGTGGATGTAACATAAAGAAAATAAATCCATTCTTTTGGCACAAAAAATGGTAAAAAAATCTTAGTTTTACCACAATTTATTTTTGGCCACAAACAAGTCTTGGCGGCAATAAGCCTTTTTTCTTGTCACGGTGCACCATCATTTTCTCCCCAACCAATATAAATATAAAAAAGTAAAGACATGACTAATTGAACCAAGCTCATTTTACAAACAATTAATAGAAAAATATTCAGAAAACTAAGAACCAAAACATTTGCATTCCTCCAAATGAATTTCTCATGTCTCGTAATTTTAAATATTTGCAACTTTTTATAATTTATTTTTTCCCAAGTAAAAAACACACACATACAAACTCGAGACAACGACAAAATCATAAGACACGTATATTGCAGGAATGCATCAAAATAATTATAGTATGATATTTTATAAAACATTACTCTCAACATATATTTTGCTTGTTTTTTTTTTTTTTTAAAAAAAACTTTCATTATTTTTTCTAACTAGCCACAATATGTTTAAAATTATATAGGAATCTGGTTTTTAGAAGAATAACAATAAAAAAATATATCATGTCCCAACGTCCATGCCATTTTTAGCTCAATAAAAAATTTAAGCAATTATATAAAACAATGAAAGGCCCAAACAACAATGGAATAGAGCCCAACCCACGCGAAGGCCCAAACTTCGAGCTCAATTTTGGAAAAAAATGCATACAGTAATTGTTTACCAGTTCAAATTCGAGTACTAGTCAATTTTTGAGAAATTAAAAATAAGGTGGAATATTATTTTCTTGACGTCACTGTCTGTCCACACAGTTTGTATTTTTCAAAGGCGTGACCTCTCTGTGTATCAAAATTCAAAAGAACCGCGTGGGATTAATTTCTCTCTTTCAACGTTTTATTCTCTTCACTATAAATAAACCAACAATACAACTACATATATAGAACCTGTATCTACATACGACTCTCGCCGATCATACCTTCCCCAAAATATACCGAATCGAGCTCAATTTTCTCCGATCATATCGTCTGCTTTCTCTTTCTCTCTCTAAGATTCCTCTCTCCTGCAAGTTTTTAGGGTTAGGGTTTTGGAGAAATGGGACAACAATCGCTGATCTACAGCTTCGTCGCCAGAGGAACGGTGATCCTCGCGGAATACACCGAATTCTCCGGCAATTTCACGAGCATCGCCTCTCAATGCCTTCAGAAGCTCCCTTCGAGCAACAACAAGTTCACCTACAATTGCGATGGCCACACCTTCAATTACCTCGTTGAAAATGGATTCAGTAACACATCTTCCCATCGCATTCATTGATTTTGTTGTCTGTTATTGCGATCTATGTGTTTGATTTGTTTTTCAATGGAAATTTTGATCAATGCATTGTGATTGTTGAAAGTGTTTTTTATGTGTATATAATTATCAATCTGTGATACATATAAATTTAATATTTACTCATGTTTTTTAGATTAGATGGGATGTGCAGACGGATCTTATTATTTAAGATCATATCATGGATAAATAGAACCTGGAATGAGAAACGAAACCACATTTATAAATTCTGATAGAATTGAAACAATTATTTTATGCTTTTAATTCCTTATTTGGGAAGGAAGATAAAAATCTTGAAACTGCCTGAGGTATGTATATACCAATATGTTGTTGCTGTGTGTATAGGTCGAAATCACTCACGCTATAAAGAATTTTGTTGTTTAGTGTATTGGTTATTGTTTTGGTATTTAAACACTGATTTTAAAGTTTGATTTGTATAGCTATTGCATAATCTGTCATAATTTTGTTTGGATCTATTATACTGCGTGATTATATTTATTTGACTGGTCTTATTTTTTTTCTCTGGGAAACATGTATTGTTTATTGATTTATATAGGTTATTCAGTGAAAACAGGCCTTACGGGTGGACCTTACATATCTGGAGATGTTTGTATTTCAGCATTTTGCTGAGACAGTTATTGACCAACTAAACTAGCTTGAATGGCTGTTTTCTTTATTTTATTTATTTATTTTTATCATGGTTGAAAATTTAGACAGATTATATTGACAGCAATTTTCATGCTTGTGTTACTACTTTGATTATGTTTAAACTTTGTTCTATATATGTTAAAATGAAAGCTGAACAAGGAAATGGTTCTTAATCAGAATTAAATGACTATGAATGATAATAAGTGACAGAGCAATGCTAGTGTAGAGCATAGTGCAGCCTGCGAACTTTTTGAAAATTGACTTATCTGTTAACTAAGGGGGTAAGGCTCCATATTTGTATAAAGAGGCTTCTATTCTATGGGGAAGTACAAACCAAACAGGTTCATAGATCATAAATCTCTCTATTGAAATGTGAATATATCTCCAAGTGTATTGAGACAAGGTCTGCACAGTGGCTTCTATTGTTCATTATATGAGTACCTTCATCATTAATATTTAACAAATTAAAGATTTTTTTCCATTTTCCACCCTTTCTGTGGTTGAAACCACATTTGGCATGATTTAGTGGATCTGTTTTCTTTTTAATTAGAAAAGGAAAACTTATGGTAATTTGGACCATGGACCTTGAAGATTGCTGATAAGTCTCCGTTGATAGAATGTGGTGTACAGAGACCATGTTGTATTAGCTGAACAAAACAATTTTATTTTTCTACTTTTAAAAGATTTTCATAGCATTGATAAAGTTTCTTTAAGAATGTTGGTTTGGATAGTCTGATTGTTTTTTTTTTTTCAATCAGAAACTTAAAGTAATTGTGAAGAATGTCAATATAAATGTATGCTTTTTATGATTTAATTTTGTGTGCCAGTAGTGACTGCCTATCATGGGCAAAGTGTCATGGTAAAATTTGCGGCTTTGGCTTAGGGTAGGAACCTCTAGTTTGGTAAGCATGGTGGGAGATGTTTGAGGCTGGTATTTGTAAACATATTAGAGAGGTTGATTAAAATTTAAGTCTGATTAACAAAGTTTACCAACTCAAAAGAATTGGGGCCAGGACTTGTATAATTGTTGGGGCTTGAATGGAATGAGGGGGATAAAATAGAAGACATTTAATTTAGTTCTTTATCTCTCTCATTATTGCTTCTAGGGGCTGTGATGTGTTCCATGTAAAACGTTTTTGGTAATTCACTGTGCGAGTGGATTTTACTTCTTTAAATTATTGAAAATGAATTGCTCTCACTGTTTTCCTTGTATATTTTAAAATTTATTCTTGTTCTCCTTCTATTTTACTGGAAAGAAGTGGAAATGCTACACGTGTTGTGTCTCTCTGACGTTTTAGTGGTGACAGTGAAAACTTTTCTTCTTAAGGTATTGGTCAATGTTGGGATTGTTAATGGGTTTTTATCGAAATTATTATCCGATTTTAGTGTAACTGCAGTTTAAATTTTAGCTTACTTATATTTGTTAATTTCGTAACTTGTGACATCTCTTATGTCCATATGTGATTAAAGTGAAACTTTGAGCCTTCTTTGCTGTTTCTTGCTTTATACTGTTGATGTAATATCTGCTCTTTGTTGAAGTTGGAAATTATTTGTTCTTCCACCTTGATTTGGTCACACTGATGCATCTTATATGGGTGACAACATTATGTTCCTATATCCGGATGCAACAATTGAGGCTCCATTGAGTCCAAGTGGGTAGAGGCTGCATGTTGTTATACACTGATTCACCATTGGTAATTTTAGTTGATTTTATCAACTGTGGGGGTTTCTCTGTGAAACTTGGGTTCAGTACTCAGTCCGTTTCAAAGCCACCTTCATCTAGTTAGCTTGTGGTCTATGTTTGACTAAAATAATATGAACTAGTTCATATATATAAACAGTTCATTGAAATTGAATTGTATCCTGGTTTTTGTTTCTGTTTTGTTAGGTTTATGTAACTAATATTTTGCTCTAAAAAGATAATTCAAAATGCTTCAAATGGAAAATTTGAAAAGGAAAAAAGAAACTCATCATCATCTTCTTCTTTAAGAAAACAGCAAGTTAATAAAAGTGAAAATCATAATTAATACTATAAAACAAATATAAATGGGTACAAGTTCAGAGTGTTGTTTCCCCAGTAGTCCGTAGATAGCTGTTTTCTTAACATCCAATGAATGGCAACCTCACAAATCTGTTGAGAGTTTTTGAGTGTTTTCGTAGCTACCAGTTATGAAACAAAAGAATTCCCAAAAGTGAATGAAAGAAAAAGTAGACAGAAGAATATTAAACACAAGGAGGTATGGTAAAGCCTGCACCTTCACCAGGTAGCTTTACTTGTCCTTTCAATTGCCAGATCTGATGGAAATGATGGTAGAGGGGAAGTTTGGTTGATAGGTCCTTTGAGTTCTTATTGTATTGCGAAAAAAAGCCGTAATGGGATGTTTTATTTTCCTAAAAAATAGAGAGGTGAATGCATTTTTCATCAAACCATGTATCCCCTGCTTTGAACACTGCCAATTTTGTCCACATATGGCAGATACAAAATGGGATATTTGTGAGAGTTGGAGTTGCCGAATGATGTCCTGTTTTCTGCGGATAGGAGTGGTGCCCAGTAAAAATGCCTTTTGTCCTTCCAAATGATCCCTATGTTTTTGACATTCTGTGGACAGCATGGATAAAGGACAACCAATCTCAGATTAATTATGTAGTATTTTTCCAAGCCTTTTAAGGCAGTCAAACTCGTTTCTTTCACATCACTTGTTTTTTTTAAAACTTTTTGCTGACCTTTATCTGTAAGATTCCTTTTTTGTATCTTATGTGCATTACTCTACATGCTTTTCTTGGTTCTGTCTATGTTGGTTTTATCTGTAAAAAGAAATCGGTGATTATAAATATTAAAGAAACAATATATGGAGTAAGATATAGAGTTTGATTAAATGATTCTTTTTATTTGGATAATTCAACATTCCTAACCCATTCCCAAAATAATATGCTATTTACTTTTGGCAATCTGGTGATAATAATTATTGTTTTTTTTGTTAATCTTATGAATGACTTTGCTAACCTTTCTGAGTTCATGTCTTGATGTGGAATTAACTTTGCAACTTTATGTTGGACTCTGCAGCTTACTGTGTTGTTGCAGTTGAGTCTGCTGGCCGACAACTTCCTATTGCCTTCTTGGAGCGAGTTAAAGATGATTTCAACAAGAAATATAGTGGAGGGAAAGCTGCAACAGCTGGTGCCAATAGCCTGAAAAAGGAATTTGGGTATTTATCTCTTTTCACTCTTTTAAGAAATATAGCATTGCTATTTCTTCCTATATCGCTGAACTCATATGCTGATTCTGGTAGGCCCAAATTGAAGGAGCACATGCAGTACTGTGTGGATCATCCAGAAGAGATTAGCAAGCTTGCAAAGGTGAAAGCTCAGGTTACTGAAGTCAAGGGAGTGATGATGGAAAACATTGAGAAGGTAAGGATGTTTTGTTAGGTTGTTCTTTTATTGTAAGATTTATGTTGGAGCTTAATGCTACCTCACTTTCATAATAAGTGTCCCGGTTTCCTTTTTGGGATGTCTCACAACAAAGTGTCCATTTTCTTTTTTGAGATGTGTCAAATTTCAACTTTCCCAATTGTCCTTAGGTTTTGAAAATCTTTTCAAATCAATAAAGTAAAATTTTAAATTTTGTTGGGTTATTTTTGAAAATTTTGAGGAGGACAATGCATGCATTATATACGTGTCCCCTTAAAAAGTTGGAGTTCGAAAGAGCGACTTGTGATATATCTGCTTGTGCTTATGTTTTTCGTCCGTCACTGTACAGCTAGTGATTAGTGTTGTCATATGGTTTCATGTTGCATCATGAATTAGAAAACTGATTCTCTTTCTTTATCTTGCTGGATATACTATTTTGGTTAATGAAATTAATTACTAGTGTTTTTCTTGCTCTGTAATGCAGGTTCTTGACCGTGGAGAAAAGATCGAGCTCCTTGTTGATAAAACTGAAGACCTTCGTTCGCAGGTAAATTGAAGATAAAATGTATTTACCTTGGAGCAAAATGTGTACTAGGCTTTAGGTGGTTTTACATAGGTTGCATCTTGGTGATGGTTGAAACTGGGTCTGACACGGTGCTTAGGTGGGGATGGGCATTTTTGTTTTGCTCTGTGGGGTGACTGGTAAATGCAAACTCTACCTCAACTTGGGCTGAGGTGTTAGGCAATCTATACTAAATCAACAGTCTACATTAATTAATGTATCCAGAGTTTAACTTTTGCCTCGTAAAACACTTGAGTGAAACATTAATATTACTAGGTGGGCTTCAAATGCTTGTTTGCCCATATAGGTTGTTTGTCTCCTAGATTCATCGACTCTTTCTGCTGTTTAAGATTGTATTCTGTTTTTATTTTGTCAATTTCACTAGAAATAACTTTCTTGTAGGGTTTTTTATTTAGGCTGTGCCTATACTTTTTATTGCCTTTAACAGGCTTTGATTGATTGTGATGAAATAGTAAGACTGCTATGAGTTGGTGCATACAACCTGCTGACGCAACCCACCAACCTTAGAAATCTAAGCTTGAGCTTTCCAGGTTTTAATTCTTTGGGACTAGGTCTGAGATTACTCTTTAACTGGATCCATCATCCAGCTTGGCACTTATGCAGTCTGTACTTAATGATTAAAGCAAGCAGGGTGTACTTAAAACAACATACGTGAAAAGGGGATTCAGATAGCTCCTTTGGTTTTCAGTTTTTTTTACACGTCTTCCCACTGTCTACATAGTCCTCCTTTTGCTGTGATGATTTCTGATCGTTAGATGTTTGGTTGTTTCAATAAATGATGTATTACAGGCACAAGATTTCAAGCATCAAGGGACCAAGTTAAAGAGGAAGATGTGGTACCAGAATATGAAGATAAAACTGATTGTTCTCGCTATCATCATTGCCTTGATTCTGATCATTGTTCTGTCTATTTGCCCTGGCTTCAAATGTTGATTTGCTCAAACCTTCTCCGTACTTCCTTCTTGTCATGTTTGATTAGGGTCATAGATTGGTTCTCCTTTCATTTTGATGTTACATTTGCAGATTTCTTTCGATCTGTAGGTTACACCTATCTGTATCAGCTGGCCTTTTTTTTGGTTGGTAAAGGCCTGTATTTTGGATTCGTTGTATAGTTTATATCTAGGAATTTCATATATTGAAGTATAGTATATCTTTGTCATGGGGCTTTGAGTTCCATGTTACAGAACGTTTATTTAATCTATGGCGGATGAATGCTTTGATTCCTACAAGTTTGCTGCTTCTATTCTTATATCTCGTGTTTCAAAAATTCTTGTTGCCGGGATTTTATTTTTTATGGAAAAAATACCTGGAAACTAGAGAAATGGAATCTGTAGTGATATTGAATCAGGTTAAGGGGAGGGTTTTTTGGAAGCCAATTGAAGAAATGAAATATATATATATATATATGTGTGTGTGTGTGTAGTTACTGTTGACATTACTTGGGAAGATCATGGTTGTTTAGCAATGAAGTGAAATACTGGTAATATTTTTTAGTGTAGTTATTGTGCTCGGAAATAACTTGTTCAATTTTCTTGAGTGATGCATGGAGTTTCGAAGGACTGGTGTTAACTTGAAGAGGGGTTTCTGGAATTGACATGAAGATTGTTGTTTGGATGGTTAGAAAAATGGCAATCTGTGGAGAAAAACACTAACGACCTGAACCAGAAAAGAACCTGCAAATCTACTGATTTTGTCTTGAGTTCCTTAAATAATTTTTTATTAAAAATCAAAAATGGGTTAGTCAATTTAGTTGGTTTGAGAAATACTTTAGTTTTATATTTCATTTCTTGTAAATATTTGAACCAAAATTGATTAATTAATTTTATCTTGGTCTCGCTTGATTTTTGGGTTTCAAAAGTCGAGATTATTTCTATTTCTCATGCCAGAAGGCTGAAGCCAACTCAATTCCGGCAGAGACTAGTCTTCGTCTTTTTACGGTGCGGGACTTAAATAGCGTGTTTAATTATTTTAGTTGAAAATCAGCGAAAAACTTTCCCTGATATTAACTAATTGGTTAACCTTGTTGAATCAATGATATAATTTTCTGCAAATTATTTTACATGCTGCACCCGATAGACTCGACTTCAACCTGTGCCAAATATCGAAAAATAAAAATAAAAAAATATTTGACCTAAAAAAATAAAATATTTTTCGAAAAAAATATTTTATTTCGAAACAAGACGGAACCTTAACATCAATGAGATTTTCAGTTTAGTATCAATAAGTTGTTTTCATTATCTGGTTTGTTTAATATGTAAAACAATTGGGGAGCATATTTTTTCAAATATAAATAATATTTGAATACATGAGTTAGACCTAAAACATTAGCCCAACTTGTTTGCCTTTGGACATGTTTTAGTGGAACTCATATTTATCTTCAACTAGTGTTTTAGGTATAACTTATCAGCCAGCCAGAGTAACATTATTGTTTGAAAGTGAAATCCAAAATGAAAAAAAGAAAAAGAAAAAAGAAAGGCAATATTTATAAGTCTCGTTGTTTTCAACTAGTGTTTTAGGTATAACTTACCAGCCAGAGTAGCATTGTTGTTCGAAAGTGAAATCCAAAATGAAAAAAAGAAAAAAAAAAAAAGAAAAGCAATATTTTTAAGTCTTGTTGTTTTCAACTAGTGTTTTAGATATAACTTATCAGCCAGAGTAGCATTGTTGTTCGAAAGTGAAATCCAAAATGAAAAAAAGAAAAAGAAAAAAGAAAGGCAATATTTCTAAGTCTTGTTTAAACAAGGAACCTAGAGTCTGTTTAGCTTTAAGATCTCTTATGCAGGGCAATCAAACTCTTGTGCCTTGAGACTTGAGTCATTTAATTGATTGACAGTTGCTACAATCCCAATAATTTAACTGTGCTTGAGATGAATGCCTATAATTTAACTGCACAATATGTCCTCGTAACTCTACGACACCCTTTTAAATAAGCAGAAAGATATTAAATTCTTGCTTCTATAACCATATAATATATATTTTTTCGATCTGTAACCATATAATACTCATTTCAATTGTGGTACATTTCTCGGTTCTGAACATCATCCTGGTACAACCAGACACAGAATTAACCTCTTGACAAGGAATTCTTGCAAAGAACACGAGAGTGTGTGTGTAAAAGAGATCAACAGGCTAATTGATCCCTGTATGGTGAAATTTCTTCAAAAATAGGAAGTCGTCTTTGTCTAAATGGAGCCCACTGGTTCATCAACTGGTCAAGCCCCTCAAGAAAAGCATCTTCTAAATCTAATAATCCCAAAGGAGAGGAAGATGGTGATGCACATTGCCATGCCTCTAGTTCCTTCCTCAAATCCTCTGCTCGCTTCTGTAACTTCGGGTCATCAGATCCTGGAAACTTGCCTTCAAATACCTCTTCAAGAACAGGCCGTGCTTCACTGTATCGTGCTTGCTTGATCAGGCACAGGCACAAGTTACAGGCCTTGTTTGCATCGGGATCAATCACTTGAGCTTTAAGATATACAACCTCAGCAGCTGCATAGTTTTTTTGCTGCATGTACGCCCATCCTAAATTGCCCTGCATTGCATGCATATGGGGTTAATGAATTACATGAATAAGCAGTGACCATGTTAACTTTTTTCTTTCTTTTATCACTTTCAGCAGGCATTCGTGACAATTGTTCACCTGCCCTTTAGAATTTAGTTATTATACAAATAATCCGATTACTTACTTATAAAAAAAAACCAATTAGCCGATTACTTGCAAAGAGAATTGACTATGTTTGTTGGCAATTTTTTTTTTTCAAAATTACTTGAGCTAAACTAACAAGTTATATGGATGGAAATTTGCCCTGAAAGAAAAATACGCAATTAAGTACCAGTATCCTGGAAGTCTCTTGCTTGATGGTGACCTGGAACTTCCTTCCATGGGAGCGAGCTGTCTTGGTAGGCTTTCCGTTGAATGCTTCCCCTTGGTAAATCATCCGAAGCTTCTGCTTCAGCATCTCAATTTGCTCTTCCAATTTCCCACATTTCTGCGAAAACATCGATATTCATTCTCAAATGAGAGGGCATAAAGAAGGATATCACTTCCAACATATTTTATGGGTAACCAAATGACAACAAAACATCAAAGAAAACAAGGTGTGTCTCTTTTATTTTTTCCAAGACAAACACACGCACACACAATTGCCTCTTTTGGGTACTTCCACACTCAACCAACTTGGAAAGTAGATAAGATACCCACTGGAGTTAAGCTCTCGGTAACAATGTGTATGTCAGTGTCAAAAGGCCACCTAACTCAGTGAACTGCACTCATTTCTACATTTGGTTGAGAAATTATGCGATCTAACTTTTCTTAAAATGTACTAATTTTCTAGGTGTTTGGGGGTCCAACAAGAATTCCACTCCCTTCATCATGCCCACTATAGCTCTTGAAAACGTAAATTTGTAGCGTACAATGAAAAGATACCACAAAACCAAAGATACAAAGTGAGATCTTCCCTCTTAATATTTCCACAAAGCTCTTACATAGCCTAGTTACCTCATACAGATGTTCAAACATACTCATTTAAAACCATCAAAAACACAATGGACTCATGTCATATTTTATGCCAATAATGTATTGATCAATTCAAATGGAATGCCATATACCCCTTGTAGAAAAAAAAAAAAAACCAGGAAATTGTTAAATTTTGAAGGATCAACTACGGCTAGCTATGTGTGTACCTTGTATAAGTCAATAAGGACATTGTCTAGTGATTCCTGTGCTTGCTTGGAGCAGCGATCTCTGAAGGAATTAATAGCTTCAATTGCTTCTTCAGCCCTGTTTTGTTGCTTCATAACAACTGCCATGTCTTTGAGAGCACTATCTACTCTATCTCCAGCATTTATAGCCATCCAGAACAAAGCTATTGCCGCTTCTGGATCTTTCTCAACTAACTGAAGCAGCGAGGACAGTAAATAAGAAACAAGTAAAAAATTGAAAATGAGACGAACAATTCAAACAAAATGCTAGAAAAATGCCTGAGAAAGGGCTGAATGGTGAAATTTGAATTAGGTGGATTATTATTCCTCAAAAGAACAGTTGTGCGCCAGTTGGTGAGGAAGGCACCGGGCAGACACATGAAACCACATCATAATAGACTTAATAGTTGATGGAAAAAGATAAACTTGCCGATCAGTTATTGTTACCGACTGATGTGACAATCACAATCACCGATATAAACACACCTTAAGAAGACAGAGAGACTCTTATCTATTAGAATTGCTAAAAAAAAAACTGATCGGCATTGCAGCATTGCCCTTAAAGTTCACACCAACTACATTTGAGTAAAACTCAATGCGTAGGAGGTGAAACCAAAATTGGACAAACTAGGCAAGTGGATAGTATTAAGTAGGATAAAAAAAAGGCTACTACAAATTTGCCTTTAAAATATTAACTAGGCAAGTGGCTAATAATGCCTTGATCTTTTATGTTACATTATGTAATTCACAAATTTTTGGTCTCGACCCAATGGTAAGATTATTGCATTGTGACCTGGAGGTCATGTTTTCGAAGCACGAAAACGGGCCAAACTTTTGCGAGTTGATCAACTAGGGGAGGGACATAGCTCTGCATACCATGATTATGTACATTTAACCATAATAACAAATTTCGAGACGCGAGATTTAGATCATACATTTCAGTCAAACTTTTATGTTCTTTTTTGCTTCAATTAAGCGCTCATCTTTGACTAGCTCGTATTATTATTATTTATTTAAGTATTTTTTTCATGACGGGGTCGTTTTTTGGTGCTGAAAAAATATTAATTCAAAGGAAAATTCATAACAGTTGACATGAGGTGCACTTTATGGTAAACTTATTCCATACTAAAACATAGAACAGGTCAAGAAACACAGAAAAAGACAACTCAACAAGTAAGTTGGATGCCAAAAATTGGCCTCGTTCAACCACATTCTATGACTCGTCCGGGTCGCGGATGAGTCGTTATCGAGCCAGTACTTAACGCGCCAAAATTACTAGAAATTATTCTGGACATAAAAATCCGAAGTTTCACTTTCATTCTTATATCACATCGAACGGCCAAAAACAACCCATCAGGTCTCATGAAAAAAAAAAAAAAAAAAAGTCCACCAAATCAACGGCACACGTTCCATATCTTTTTCTATACATTTTTTTTTCCCCTTTGAATCAACTTTCTTCCCAAAAAAAATTTTTTTTAAAAATCAAATCATAGGAAAGAAACTGCATAACACAAACAAATCATGGAGAGAGATGAAAACAACTAATGGGTTTGCAATACATAGAGAGAGAGAATTGTAGAGAGAGAAAGAAGGGTGAGATATATTGTATGTACCTGAACGTGCTTGGCTCGAACATACGGACTATCCCCAGGAGGGAGCTTATGAATGACGTGATAAGGCTCTTGTTTCTCTGCTTTTTTGGGGCAGTAAACATTCAAACTTCGCTTCATTATTTGTCCTTTCTCTCTCTAGAAATCTCTGTTTCTTTCTCTAAAATGAATTGGGTACCTGTGTTTCTCTTTCTAGATTCAGTCTGATGATAGAATTGGAGATTACTGAAGCTGGAGATGGTAATTGTCAGGTCACGGAATGATAAAGAGACTCTCAATCTTTTTATATTAAGATGCAAATGAACCTGGACTGAAAACCGGATATGTTCACGCTCTTGCCATTTTAGAGACAGCTTATTCGCCACGTATCTCATTCGGACACGTGTCAGCATTAAAATAAAAAAAAAAGAACGCTCTTGTTTTCTGTTTTTTGTTTTTTTTTGTTATTTTTGTTGGAAATTGAAAAGTGTGTACCAAAAACAATTGGCAACTCAACAACTAAAAACTGAAGTCCATGGTCTGGGGTTGAGCTTCTAGGTGTTATGACCCGACCCATTTGTGCCCAACGGTTTAAACCAATTCCATGGTGGGTGGTTAATTTTGTTGTGGAATTTGAGTCTGGGTTGGTGTAATACTGTTTAATGCAAACTAAGAGAAAAACTACCATATAAATTTGGATTTAGGTAGGTGTAATACAGTTACTTGCCAATTACTCCCTTCAACCCAATTTAAGTGCCGTTTATAGGGGAGTATTATTACTTCCGTACTAAATTAAATATCCTATTTTGGAAACATGTGAGACATGTGTTGTCTATCTGAAAAATTATTAATTTGTCTGTTTAAGTTTTGAATATTCAAAATTAAAATTTTGAATTCAAAAGACATATATAGAAAGATGTAAAATATATTATTTAAAAATGAAAAGTGAACTATTATTTTGGGATAGACAAAAATAATAATAATAATAATAATTATTATTATTATTATTATTATTAGTATGACAGGAAGTAACACAAAAACTATAATACAATTGTTTAATTTACATTCGGATTTAAAGTTGAGGTATTGAACATTAATTGAAACGGTATTAGAAAATAGAGTCCATCTTATTATTTAATTTGTAATAATTTTTATTGTACAGTGCTTTATTAGGAAAAACCCAATTTCAACGTCATAACATCCCCACAAAAAGTTCGCATTACACCCACCTAGATTCAAATTCCACAAAAAAAAGAATTTAATTTGGTCAAAAGAACTCAAAATAAAGATAACGTGGGCATAAAATTTTGACCATTATCTACTAGAAATGAATATTGGCATAAAATTTTGAATGTAAATTTTTTTTTGCCTCGGCATTTTCAGTCTCACACTATTCTTTTTCAGCAGTCAAATACAATTTTTAATAACTATCGGGAAATTCAAGATATTAGTCCAATGTTTTGGAAGTTCTGAATTAATGTATTGCATTTAAACTAAATTTTTTCTAATCCCAATTACAAGACGTCAATTTAATATTTCAAAACAGAACACAAGAGGAAATAGATGGTTGTTGGACGAATGCAAGCTTCTTTGACCCTTTTAGGCTGCCTATGTAGGTGGGTTGCTGGTCTCTTGCTAGCTTCAGCTTGGTAGCGGTGAAGAATGCTGTTCTCTTTCTATTTTTCCTGGAAAGACAAATTAATTAATACAAATCGCCCTCTATTAGAAGTCAAACCGTTACCGTTCGATAATTTAATTGAAATGCCTAATCAAATTTTCAAAACTTTCGATAATTTAATTGAAATCCTTAATCAAATTTTCTAATTCCAATCAAGTGACAGTCAATAGCCACTGATGTACATTGAATCATGATGTAAACGGAATCCATTTTCTCTAACTACTACTATTTAAACAAAATTGTTAAAGAGTACTTGGTCATGTTACTAAGAAGCTTCTTTGGTCTATAATGGAGTCTTGTAAACTTAAACCATTAACATAAATTGATCTTGGGTCCATTGGTTTAGTTTGGTCTGATCATTTATTTATGATTTTCTTTTTCAATAATTAATGAAAAAGCTGGTTCATCAAGACTTAGAGTCAAGTATTCCATGCCAGACTTTTGGCTTTTATTTGAAAGAACAGGTCAGTGCTTAAACTAATTTATCCTTTCAAGAAAAAGAAAGGCGTAAATACTACAAATTGATTTTTTTGACAACTTAATATAATATTTTTTTAAAATTTTTTTTTTTTTTAATTGAACGTATAAAATAACTTATCGAAAATTGACGATAACTTATCGAAAATTGACGAGTAATTTATTTTTATTATGTTTTAATATTTTTTTTTTCGTAAATATTTTATCACAATCAAACACCAAAAAAATAAAAATAAAAATAAAAATAAAATATTTTACATCCAAACAAACTTGGTAAGAGTATTTGGTTCAATGATCGTCACATCAATCAATTATAAAAATATATCCATTAATTGATTATAAAAACATATCCATCAACCGCACACCCCACCAAATACACACTGAGAGGTTTAAAATAGTCTATTATATACACTGAAAAATGGAATACGGAGGATGCAAAAAAAATAACAGCAACAGTAGAACCAGAGGATGGCTCTTGACCAAAAGAAAAGCAACCAAGCAACCATATCGCAAGCCTTCTCTCATTACGAAGAAAAAAAAGAGGGAAATGCTTCGAGTGAATTACCCAACTACTATGATGCTCCAAACAGTCTTCTAACCTATTCCCCACTCGTAAGCTCAGGCAAACATTTAACTTGAAGAACAAACAAACACACCATCTCAACCTATGCCCAGTTTCCACCACCCCTTCCATGGCCGCCCAGTCCCCGCCCACGACCATAACCTCTTCCGCCACCTCTGCCTCTTTCATATCCAGCACCAGTTTAATAACGAACACGGAATACAAAATGAATTAAGAAATGAAAGTTTAAAGCTGAAAAGAGAACTAAAAAATAATCCTTAAATAATTAAATACTTAAATTTGATAAACCAAATATCCATAATTTGAACAACTCGGGAATCCATCTCTAGTGGACCCCTAATAAAAATCTCACACTGAATGAAAGTAAAATGAAAGATAAAATCAAAATCCAAGATCTGGAAAGAAACCCTACATCGTCGGTAGAATGGAAGATCGTCTCTGCTTAGCACGAACAAGCTCAAGCCTGGAACTGACGTACACCTGAAAAATAGGAGTGGGTCAGGCCCACGAACAAGTTCTAACCTACTACAATCCAAGCAGAGACTCGATACGCATGTACATACTAAATAGTTCAACAATAACTAATAATCCGTATATAAATATATCCACACTACTGGACTCTCGCTAGGCCATGAAGGGGGTCTCAACCTGGATAGAAGGCATCACACAATACGCACCTGAGTGGGCATGAGTACCTAAACCTAAACAGAGTATACCTCAACCTTTACAGTCAGCTACACATCCAACTGCATATACGCACCCTAACCGTCGACACTGAGACTCAAGCTCATGACACGGTAACAGAAAATTATATCTAAACTCCGTTCCTAACCATCCACAAGAAATCCAGTAAGTCACTCGGCGTATTCAACTGTACCGACTTATATATATAAGGAGGATTATATTTTATAACCCGTGCCCTTACTCCAAAATATGTAGGACTTAGCAATTTGAGCTAATCCAAACCTAGTATGTCACCGTCCCATACCGGTACATACAATCCAATCCGTCCGATAGTTGATAAAGCATATACAAGTATATAACAATATCAACGAGTCCATATCAAGCATATCAGAATGTAGTAACAACCGTTCTTGAATAGTCCCAACAAATTGATTAACATTGGAAACATAAATATCAATATTAATTACTCTATTCCACACATTTAAATAATTTATAAATGCCAAAACCAACAATTCCAACCTAACCATGTTAGAATAGATTAACTATCTTGCTTTAATAAATCCAACCACTGATTAAGTACTAATAGTATCAGTGTCAAAACCCACAGTTCCAAACTAAGTACATTAAAGTATACTGGGAAAAACATGCTTAATTAATCCAACAATAAGCCATTACCTGATCACCCACAGGACTGTGTCTGTAAATATAAGTTTATTCCCGGTATCCATAATTAACAGAGCTTAAACAAATGTTATAATATTTATTTCCATGGCATGCATAATAAATCCAGACAATTTATCATACTGTTAGGCTCCTATTCAACAAAATTGACGAATTAAATGTTAAGTTTAATCATCAATTAATCTTTAGCAAAAATACAGATTCCTTGTATGTAGGTATACTCTAAGAATTTGCAATTAGCAGTGCCCAAACTCTCACAAGAAATTTTACATTATAATCTAGAAGTTAGAAACTCCAAACCCACACAAGTCTGCAAGACATTCGTAATTAACTCCATGTAATCCTAACGATTAATGCTTTGTGTCCAATTCTATGTTAATCCGATCTTTGCATATTTATGTTTACTCTAGACCACTCCTAAACCATCCATTACAGTATTTATTCTCCACTAAAACACATTAAAACAATCACTAGGAAGCCTAATCACGGAAAATTGGAAAAACAACCAACAGAACCAAAAAACCACGAACAAACAACCTGGAGCCGGCTCCAGAATATTGGAGCCGCCTCCAATGGCCCTGGAGCCGGCTCCTAGACCATTGGAGCAACCTCCAGTCCAAGGAAAGCCGGCTCCAATCCAATAGGAGCCGGCTCTCTCCCTCCTCTTCTTCGTGTTCTCCTCTCGGGTCGCCGTTTACGCCTCCGACACTTTACAGTATAGGTTTTCAGAGAGTTTAACTTAATCCCAGAAGATTCCAACCCTTAATTCAGTCCTTATTATGCTACTAATATGGATTAAACCAAGAATTAAACAAGAAAGTTCAAAGTTTAAACAGTTTACAATTTTAAAACAAATTCAGTTTCAGTGAAACTCTGAACATGAAACAGCTAACGTTTTTATTTTTTTTTAAACATGTAATTCATCCTGGAACTATTGAGTATGCAAAGAACACGAGTATAAGGGAAAGAGTAAGGTTAGAACTTGCCTTTGAGATCTTTGTCCAAAAATCTCTACGCCGTCTCTAAAGGTCCGACGAAAACCAATGTGAACCCTCTCTGTTCTTCCTTCGTCTCCACAGTCGTATAGGTTTTGTTATGTTTCTCAAACCCTAACCAAACATCTAACATATATTTATAGGATTTTACTAAACCCTAAGCCCCAACTGAAAACCTAACCGGCCCATCCAACATACTGAGAAACCTACGACGGCTTACAAACTGATTAAAAGTAAAACCCTACTTATTAAATCAAGACACTTACCAATTTAAATTTACAATAAAGAATTAAATATAACACCATTACAATTAAACACATAATTAATGTAAATAAATCAAATAAATTAATTAAACCCAAAGAAAACAAATAAACCAACCAATTAATTCAAATAACACAAATAAGACAAGGAAATCAAATAAATAAAAAAAACCAATTAAAACATATTAAAACATAATTCAAAACAATTAATGAACCAAAAACAATCAATGAACAGAAAATAATTAAACAAAATACCGAGATTATCCTTTTGAAAATTAGGGGTATTATAAGCATGATCAATATGGAATTGTGCACGACCCTCCCTTCTCAACTAGGAATAGGCTATAATACTATTTATCATAGCTTACTTTGCACTGATTAAATATTGTTTGTTTTGTACACTATTTTTTCAATAGTCATAATTTTGCTCAAAACATATTTGCATGGATGCTCTTAATTATTATGTAACCGAGTTTTGAAAATTGTAAAGCATGCACGCGAATTGGAGCCGGAGCCATTGGCGGATACAGGGTGGGCCCAAAATTTTTAAAAAAAAAATTATTTATGGGATAATTCCACAAAAATTGAGTTATAGGGGTCAAAGGACAAAAAATTGGAGCCAAATTCAAGTTTTCTAAATTAATGAAATTTTATGTAAGTCTAACGTGGACATGAAAAATTACTATACATTATATTTTTATTTCCAAAATAACCTTATATTATTATTATGAAATTATGCTACTAACCCTTTCAAATCTAGAGAGAGAAGAGAAACACATCTATGCCAATCCTCTCAAACTCTCATTCTCTACAACTCCTATTTCCTCAAACTCCAGAATCACTGTAGAAAGAATGAAGTTAAAATCCACTTCTCAGTTCATTTTCTTTATAAATCATCAGTTCTCAATGCAATTTCCTTTCTAACTTTGATTTCTTCCTTTATTTTACGTATTTATTTTTAATTTCCTTTATAAGTTCTCATTGTAATTTTCTTTCTAACTTTGATTTTCCCCTCTATTTATTTCTATTTTACTTATTTATTTTTATATATCTATATATTGTGAAGATCTTTAATTTGGCAGTGGGAGTGAGAGAGAATCAAATACCGTAACATTTGTAAGTGTCGGTTTAAATGGTAATTTTATTTGTTTAGTAACCGACACTAATAAATGTTACGGTATTTGATTCTCTCTCAATCCCACTGCCAAATTAAAGATCTTCACAATATATAGATATATAAAAATAAATAAGTAAAATAAAGGGAAAACCAAAGTTAGAAAGAAAATTACATTGAGAATTGATGATTTATAAAGAAAACGAACTGAAAAGTGAATTTTGACTTCATTCTTTTTACAGTGATTTTGATAGTGTGTCTCGGGAGTTTGAGGAAAGAGAAGCTGCCGGATAAGAAGAGTTCGAGAGGATTGGCATAAGAGAAGTGATAGATCTTCCGACTTCAATTGCCGATTACTCCTCCGAATATAACGTGGTTGGGAATGAGTCGAAGAGAAAGAGATGTTTAAGGGAATTTTTTTAATAGTTTCAATGGAATCCAACCACGTTGTATTCGTATGATAAGTAGATAATTAACGTCGGAAGACCTATGATTTTTCTTGGCATAAATATTCTCTCTCTAAATATGAGAAGGGTAGTAGCATAATTTCATAACAATAATAAAATGTTATTTTGGGAATAAAAAATGATGTATAGTAATTTTTCAGATTTTTATAAACTGGATTTTGACTTCATTTTTTTGTCTTTTGACCCTTAAAATTTTATTTTTATGAAATTATCCCTTTATTTATTATACCTGATTTTAGTCCAGTAAAATAAGAAAAAATATATTATTGACAATTCCTGAATGTTGATTAACACCGTTAGCAAATAATATCAACACGGAGTGAACTCAAAAAGTCCTTGTTGCCCTCAATTTAACATATTTATTATATAACTTGTTCCACTAGAAATTTGGGCAATCACAAGTACTAATTAAATATTGATTAGGCAAAAAAGATGGATTTTCATGCAATATCAAGAATCAGAGAGAAAGCAACGGAACCGAAACCCAAAGGTTCAAGGATTAATAAATTTAGTATTGACATTTTCAATAAAAAAATAAAACCCAAAAAAAAAAAATGAGCAATCGAGGAAGGCAAGAGTAAGAAACAAGAAGAGAGGAAAGCTACGAAAAAAAAAAATTAATAATAATAAATCAAATGATGCGATTATAATAAGCAATTGAAATCATTTTAAGACGTCCCATTTTGGAAGGATACATGATTTTCACAAATAAAGACTTTAAAAAAACCGCCAACGGTGAAAATAGTATACCACTGGGCCGACAATACCCCAATAGTTTTAAGGCTTACCAGTTAACCGAAAAAACAACACCACAATTGTTTTCGCAGCGGTGGACGAAGCAGGCCAAAGGCACGGTTGAGAGGATACAGACAATTCAGACGGCCTTCCATCGCACCGAATCACTCCACGTGTCCTTCCGACAACCAAGCCTTCTCTCTCTACTGTCTACTCAGGAACTCACCCAACCTGTGCCCAAAACATCAACGCAGTGCTGACTCCGTTTCTCTCTCTCTCTAACACACTGAATTGAGCTACAATTCATTCTCAACCCTTCTTTCAGCAAGTTAAGTGTCTTCAAGTCTCTCTCCATATCTATCTATATATATATAATTCTTGCATTTTGACAGTAATTTCGTTCTGTAGATCTCTATATTTATCCATCGATTCCGCCATGGACGCAGCTTCTCAGCTCGTCTACTGCGGAGTCGAGCCTTTTTGTCGAACGCTTCATGCTTCTTCTTCCAAGAAGATGACCGTTTACCGTCAATGTCCGAGTGTAATTGGGGTTCGGAGACGGAACGGTGTCGTACGAGCTGTCGCAACGAAGCCTAAACCAGCGGAGGAGGCTGGACCTTCACGGCCATCGCCGCCAAAAGTCGTCAATGGATCTTCGAGATCGCCATCGTCGTCGAAAGCGGTCAACGGAGCTTCTACGGTATACTACTGAACTAATTTGTTTGTTTTTATACTCAAATGTTGTTGTTAAGTCACTGATTTTGTGGTCATTTAAGTGAACTTTTTTTTTTGTTTGGTTACTGTGAAAATCAAGCAAATGTAAAGTAGGGAAAAGAAAAACGGAAAGGAGTGTCGCAATTTGATTTTCCTTTTCTAAGTTTGGCTTTCTAAAGAAAATGAAAAGTTTGCCTCAACTGATACAGCAATTTTATTCGGATTAGTTAAGCCAAAAGGTTCTTTGCTTTTGATTGGTTGAGTTATTGGTGGAAATCTTGAATTTCTGAAGCTGGGAATGGCAGGGAATGGGAGCTGTTTCGCAGGAGATCAAAAGAGTGAGAGCACAGATGGAAGAAAACGAAGAGTTGGCAATACTTATGAGGGGGCTTCGTGGTCAGAATTTGAGCGATTCCCAGTTCGCTGCCGACAATGTTCAGCTTCGCTTACTTGAGGTTTGTCATTGATCTTGATTGCTTATTATATGAAATCCTGTTAAATTTGACTTCCTTTTATGTACTGTTTTACTTTTGTCATTTTGTTTCCGTATGAGGAGAATAACTTACAAAATGTGCTTTCACGATTGGCAAGGTTTTGAAAATTTGGGTGCCATTAAGAATGATCCAGCTCAGAGAAATTAAAACTTGGATTATGATGGACTGAGTGGTCCAATGATTTGTGTCCACACTTAATTCCATCTTGGGTAAAAAAGCATCCTTATTTTGAGGTCATAATTCATATAGGTTGTAGTTTGTTTAAATTATATGATCGTTGTTTCTTCTACCATTTTTAGAATGATCTTTTTAGTTTCTTAATGAATTTCTCTGCTAGTATTTTTTCTTCATTCATTCTTGGAATCCTGTGATACTCACCCCTTAGAATGCTATTTGATCTAGATGTGCATATTTATTCACGGACCTGTATCTACATATTGGTAGTGTTATGATTGGGCAATTTCGTTCGTTCATATACATCATATACATGTACAGTTTGGCATTTTGATTGGAGTTGCAAGTAAAAGTGAACTTAGGACCAAACAATGCTTTATCCTAATTGTTTGGGAATTGCAATTTTTTGCTTTTCAGAATTTTCCGAAGTTATATTAGAAAAAGTTATCAAAAAATAAAAGAAAAAAGTAACATTTATTGCAAGACACAGTCATCAAAACGTACATTGAAGATCTAAGAATTCAAAGGCATGATGATCAAGCAATATTTAAGGTTTGATTATTATGATTTATTTTTAACATTGATTGAAAACTTTGTTAGGATGATAACTACTTCATGCAATTTCGAAACTTCTCTATATTTCAAACTTGTGCAGGCTATGTTTGAAGTAGCGATAAGAACTATTGTAAAGAAATGACAGTTTGATACTGACTGAAGCATGTCAACTAATTCCAAATATGTGAGCACAAGTGTGAAAAATGCTTGAATGATAACCAAGAAAAATCTTCGTAAAACCCATTCTCACATTTCTGTTTCTACACGCAAACACACATGATACCAAAGTGTGTGGAGTGCGATGTATAAATATTTAATCTGATTTGACGTTGTTCCAAGTTTCTGGGATACTATTTTGCCTTTGATTCTTGGCAGTGGACAAGTCTGGTAGACAACAAATGTGAAACTATGGCAAGTAGTATCTGGACAAGTGACGAAATATTAACTGATTGGGTAGAGCAATGATGAGTTGAAGTCTTATGAGAATTAGTAAGCTTGTAGCACAAGATAGATTAGGGGAGTTCAAAAATGTTACAAGCCAGTTGCTACATTGTTTTGTAAGAATCCAAGGGAACGCGTGTGAATTTATTTAGTTAATGTTATGATGCCTAAAGCTTCACATGTATAAAAGCATAAACTCCTGAAACCTTTTTGTTGGAACGGCTGTTCTTTTTTTAAGGAATACTTATATGGCAATATTATATGCTTTTTTGTGCTTCTTCAGCTTGATGAAAGCAGCAAATTTTTGCCTTTGGTGTATGATCCTTCTAGCATCTCTGCATACTGGGGGGGACGACCACGTGCAGTTGCAACCCGTATTGTTCAGTTACTATCCGTTGCCGGAGGTTTTCTTTCACGTCTTGTTTGGGATGTAGTAAACAAGAAGGTCAAAGAGGTGAGCTTTTTATGCCATGCTTCCATTTTTGACTCAGTTATACTTTCTGATTTGTTAATACTTGCAAAAAGAAATCTACCACAGTGCTATCTGCACTTATTCTTTGATTTTAATTTAACCTTTTTCTCTGTCACCAGAATCATTTATTTACCTTTCCATGAATGATCTCTTCTTGCAGCATGTAACATTATTTGTTGCTGCCGTAAGAAGTTCATTTGTTTCAAAGAGCTAAAAATTTCTTGGATATCTGTATGAGAACTTGAGAAGAGTGCTCGTTCATGCTTTCAAGACAGAGTTCGACCATGGAAAGGTTTTAAGATATAAATTTGACTATATCAGTCTTGGTAGTGATGGAGGTTGTTAAAATTTAAATAAGAATATTAGGTCTTCAAGGAATCCTTTCAGATTACAAACAATGACTGTAAGAACTTCACAACTTTTACTAGCGATTTGCTTACATCAGTAACTTCTTTGAGACCATTTCATGAATATTTTAAATCTCGAGAAACTCATGCTTGACCCTTAACATGGAATTCATTGCCAGGAAGCATAAAGTGGTACTTAGTTATTCATGGTTAAGGGTGTTCAAAAGTTAATAGCATAAATCTTTTAACCTGAGTGTATAATGGCCAGACACCACTTCAGGATATGAACTTCCTGATTCCCCGTGGGGCCCATCTCTCAGGGTTTTATCCCCTTTTTTCGCTTGATGAATGTGGGGAAAGGGAATTTCATGCGTCCTGGAGGGTTAGTTGGGTGCTCAAATTGGCCCATATATAACTTGTAATTAACACACACAACACACACACACACACACTGATTATCAATATAGTAGTGAATGTTGTATTGTGGAGAATTAAAGGAGGAACATAAATTGTAATGAAATGATAAATAGTGTAGGAATTGCACCAAGAATCTGTAAGCAAGGGATGAACATGCTGCTGAAAGGAGTGATCTTTATGATTGAATAAGCTGCTCGTTGATTCCTTATTTTCATTAGACGAGGACTCCAAGGTCGAACTCTTTGCATTTAGGAATTTTATTTTGTAAAATTAATTAAAATCTAAGGAGACACATATTCCCATGAAGGCCAATTAATGCTACTAATCCAAGTAGTAACAAAAAAAAAAAAATCATTAGATCGCTAGTACAGCCCAGGCTTACAATATGTGAAGGCCTCTTTGGCATCACTTTTGAAAACTACTTTTATTTTTAAAAATGAAAAAGATTTACCCAAAAAAAAGAAAAAAAATGATTACTTATCAAGGAAAAAAAATAAAGAAAAAAGAAATCGAAGATGTTACCGAAAGCTTGTCTGCAACGTCATTTTAAAAATAAATCGTCCATTAGTGAGTTTTTGTCTTGTATATCGAGGTGCATGGAGGAAAAGATTGGAGACAAACTTGACCTTTGGCACTATTTTGTAGAAAAAAAAAAGAAGAGAAAAAGATGGCGAGTCTTTTTAAGGAACTTGTTTAAGATAGACTTTTGAGTTTCCAAAGCCTCTGGTTCACTGAGAACTGAAAATAAATAATATTTATTCAACTTTTCATTGTTTTCGTTTTTTGGCTTTTCTAAAATGAAAATTAAATTTTAAAAACTGTAACAAGCCCTAGTATTTCCAAAATTTGTTGACTCTAAAACTTCGGAAAACACAAGTGGTGCCAGATGAATGAGATACTAACCAAACATAAAAATAAATTATATTAAAATATGACAAGTTAAAACTGACCATGCAAGGTCACTAGTGGTCGCTGTATAAACTCCTAAACAAACCAATTTTACCATTTGTTATTGATATGGTCAACATGGATATAGTCAATGTTATACTACTTTACACTTTCTAGCTCTGGCTACCTGCTAAATGACTCCAAAACTGGAGAATATGAACTACTCACTTGGTGTTGTATGTGCAATTACAAATTTTGAGTCAACACATGTAGTCTGATTATTATTCATTTTTATTATATTCAGAATGAAGTTGCTCGAGCAATTGAGATAAGAGAGATTGTAACCTCTTTGGGTCCAGCATATATTAAACTTGGGCAAGCATTGAGCATTCGTCCCGATATACTTTCACCTGCAGCAATGACTGAACTGCAAAAGCTTTGTGATAAGGTAAAATATAACTTTCTTTTAATTTGCTTAACTTACATGATGACTATTATGTATGATTAAATTGAATTTCCTCTTTTACCCCAGGACCTCTCTCAAATTATGATTTTCAATATGGAATCCATAAAGTTTAGTATCATTAGTATGGAGTTGGAAAGGCTGGAAGGGGTAATTTCCTGGTGTAGTAATTAAAGCTCATGTTTCCTAGTGTGAGACATGGTTTTGAGTCTCAAGGCAGTCACTTTATGCAAATAATGCTAGAAGTTAGGTCTCCTCCCACTACCTTGATTAAGGGGGACTGATATTGGGGAATGGCCTTTTATGGTCTTTGGAATGGAGTTGGAAGGTGTATGGTCTTTTTCCCTTAATGCGGTGCTGATCTAGAAAACTTATCATATTTACACTACTTTGACCAGTCAGTCAGGCTAAATTATAACTGGAGCGGAAAATGTTTGGAGGAAAACTGAAGGAAGTTCTTAAACAAAGAAAAAATGAAGATGTATAAATTGGGAGCTTTATGATGTTTCTGCCCATTACTTGCCCCCCTAATTTTATTAAGTCGGATTAGAAGAAAGAGCTAATCCAATTCATTACAAGGCTTACTTGAAAACTCTATATTTTAATTTTCTTTGTATGCACTTTTTTTGACCAAATATTGATCGGTGTCTCCTTCATTTCTCTTTGTTAATTTTACATAGCATGTGGAAAATTAAAAAGGTTTTTATTGTTATTTTCTGCCCCACTTCATTTTTAAGTCCTTGTATATTACGATGACCATCATTTATATGTATTTCTCTTAATAAAATTTTCATCTCAACTGCAGTCCTTAGATATGCCATATAGACCTAATTTTGTAATTATAGTTTTTCCCAAACTTTTTTATTTTTATTTTTTATAGTAGTCTTAGGCTCTTGGCAGCTTGTTACATGTAAACATATAGACCTAATTTGGTTAAAAAAAAGAAGAAAATAACTCTCAAATGTTTGTGTGTGAGGAGTTATGATTGTGTGCTATTTCTACTCTCTTTGCTGACTGTTTGTTTCATGGTATTAAAGGTTCCATCATATCCAGATGATGTCGCGATGGCCCTTATAGAGGAGGAGCTTGGTCAGCCATGGCAAAACATCTATTCTGAACTCAGTTCCTCCCCAATTGCTGCTGGTATTTTATCATCAGCTGAACATTGTTTTAGATCTTAAATTTATTTGTGTTGTTGATTACTTTCTGAAACTTATCACGAAGGACATCTGACCCTTAGTTGCTTAGTGAAAGTTCATCAGTCTCTCATTATTTGTTCTTGTTTTGCAAAATCTATGGCAGCATCTCTTGGACAGGTGTATAAGGGCCGTCTAAAAGAAAATGGAGATCTGGTAGCTGTTAAAGTACAAAGGCCTTTTGTTCTTGAGACTGTAACAATTGACTTATTTATAATACGGAACTTGGGATTAGTTCTTCGGAAGTTTCCTCAGGTAGTGTTTATTGACTCACGATACTGCAGTCACTTGTTAGCTTCTATTTCTCTAAGCATATATTATTGTATTCATCGTCCCTTCTTATGTTTTCAGATCTCAGTTGATGTTGTTGGATTGGTTGATGAATGGGCTGCCCGTTTCTTTGAGGAGCTTGATTATGTTAATGAGGGTGAAAATGGAACTCTCTTTGCTGAGATGATGAAAAAGGACCTTCCTCAGGTCAGTCTCATCATATTTAAAACTTTTTTCTTATATTATTTGTGTGGCAATTATTCTGTTTCTGGAGTTTGATTTTGAATATTATTAATTAGAATGCTGGCTGGTATTAGATAGATTTTAATCACTGTAACCACTTAGAACTCATGTTAAAAAGAAAAGAAAAAATTTAAAAAACACATGGGCATGCAGTGCAAAGGTTCTCTCTCTCTCTCTTGCAACAAGAATTTACTTATGGATGATACTTTGTATATAGGAATGAAATATACAGTATTTATGGATAATATATGCTGTTGTTGCAATTGATAATTTTCCTTCATCTTTAGTGCCCTCATAAAGTACAACTTTAGGGTAGCTTCATAAAAAATTCAAGGTGACTCTTGCTCTTTTACCGGGTTCGCATTTTGTGCAAAATGAGCAGCAAGGCATGCAGCTTCTTTTCCGGTTCCATTGTATCTTTTGCTCTTAACAAAAATTGTGTTACCTGGGGACCAATTGGGTATTTGGGTTTCTCCTAGGGATGCTAGCTCCATGATTGTTTCCTATGAGGCTTTGACATGAGTGGGAGTGCCATGATTCTTTGGGGGTGCGCTATGATGGCATTTATGGTCACTCCGATCGAAAGGAATACAAGATGTGCAAAGGAGAACAATCCATGAAAGAAAATATTTGGGTAGAGTCCAGTTGTTTTTCCTCCTTGTGTCATTCACTGGACATTTTGATTGAAAGGAATACCGGATGTTCAAAGGAACAATCCATGAGAGGATTATTGGGATAGGGTTCAAATGTTTATCTTGTAGTTTTAGTTACAAAGTTATTTAGAGGGTGCCTTGTAAGTGTTCAGTATGGGACTTATGTGAGCCTGTGACTTCCTCATTATCTCTAAACATGGTTCTCTCTACTTGTGAGCCTCCACATAGTGAGAAGAATCAAATTTAGCTTTATTAGGTGATTTATTGAAATCCAAACTGGATCGGTGTTAGAACATTTTTAGAGATGGTGTTGGGAGCCTAATTTTCTATTATTCAGGCTGGCTATGGAGGTTCTGATACAAGGTTAAAAATTTAGCAGATAGGTATTACGCCTTCATGCAAGGAAAGAGAGGTTGGAGCTGGCATATTCACTAACAAAGGCCAAGTATTTAGGTGTAATTGATCAGAGAGGCTGGATAGCTGGGGAAAAGAAAACATAGAGCAGAGAAGATGTGAGCATCTCTACCAGCAGTTCTGGTCTTTGTTCCTATTCTAGAAGGACATGGGAGCATAATGAGCCCATTGGTTTACTATTGGCAGGTGTAACTTGACAGGTCTCTGGTGCAGAAGCAGATGAAGCTTCCCTGGATGGTATGCATCAACAGGTGAATATGGGGTGCTTGGAAGACAAAGGAGCTGGAGCAGACGGTTGATAGTGACCTTTTTGGAAGTGTTTGGGGGGTGGCAACCTAGATGTTTTTGTTGGGATAAAAAGGTTGCAAGTAAAACCACTTTGACCATTGTAAAGGCAGCAGCTGTGCACTAGAAGGGGATGTAGCTGGCAGTATTGTGGTTGCGAATGATGCTCATGGGCTGATGAATGTAGTGGCTTGGAAGCAGAAACAAAGGGAAGAACAGAAGATAGGTTGTTAACACCAGCTAATTGTACTCCAGCAGTGATTGTGATTACTACTGTGAGTCGGAACAAAGACTTGATCTCAGAAAAGCCTGCTGGGAGTGGAGAAATGGTACCACTACAGGCTGTTAGGGATATCTCATTAGATATTTTCTTAATTGTTATGATCTATTTAAACAGTTTATAGACATTTTCTTAATTGTTATGAGGAAATTCCAACACCCACCCTCTCCCCGGAAAGGTAAAACAAAAATGCTTCCAAGAGCCCTTGGAAATTATGTTGTGATTATCATGAGAGACTTATATCTTGTAGAATTACTTATATTGTGATGATTATGAGAAGCCTTGTTTTCTTTTACAAGTGAAGGAGATATATTCATCTCAAATAGCATCAATTAATTAAATGATTTTTAGGCTTGATTATAATGAAACTGGAATAAGTGAAAAAAACTGTCACATATTTGAATACTATCGTCTGAGTTTTCAGTGTTACTTGTGAAGAATTTATGGCACTTTCTAATAAGTTTCATTTTTTCAGGTGGTTGTGCCAAAAACCTATGTTAAGTATACTTCACGAAAGGTTCTAACTACATCATGGGTAGACGGGGAAAAGCTGTCACAAAGTACAGAAAGTGACGTCGGGGAACTGGTCAATGTTGGAGTCATATGCTACCTGAAGCAGGTGATTGACTCTATCAATTTACTTATGAAAGCTAATGCACTACAGATATACAGAGATATTTACCATTACCTTCAACTGTGTTTTTTTTTTTTGATAAATACCTTCAACTGTGTTTCTTATGTAAATAGCAATGTAATTTTTGTTTTTTTTTTTTTGATAAGTAAGAATTTATGAAAAACGCTCAAAAAGGGGAGCGGATACCAAAGATACAAAACAAAAGGCTAAAGGGCGCCTCAGGCCTTCAGAGAGGCCAAAAAAACAATAATTTCCTCCGTAGATCTATAATCTCTCCCTGAAACCCAGTAAAAAAGAGTACAAATAACAGAGAACTTAAGCATAGAAACAGGCTTCTCTTTTCCATCAAAATATCTCCTATTTCTCTCGAGCCAAATACACCACCAAATACAAAGTGGCGTAGCCCTCCAAGCATTTTGAATGGAAGCCCCAACGGATACGCCTCTCCAAGCTTCAATCAACCCTCTAGAAGAACAAAGCATAACCCATTGAACCCCAAATAAACCAAGCATCAATCCCAACAATCTCTGGCCATGCTACAATGTAAAAGGAGGTGATCAACTGACTCCCCATTGCACAAGCACATATAACACCGATTGACCACCACCTGATTCCTCCTCCTCAAATTGTCTTGGGTTAAAATCTTGCCTAGGACTGAGGTTCAAGCAAAAAAGGCGACCTTGCGGGGAGCCTTGGAACGCCAAATAGACTTCCATGGGAAGGGTTCTCCGTGATGAACCGAAAGGCATCTAAAAAAAGATCTGACCTCAAAACGGCCTTGCGAGTTAGGAACCCAGAACCAACAATCCGACTCCCCAAAAGAGATCACTTGGCTATACAAAAGCTCCAGAAAGCGAGAAACATCCTCGATCTCCCAATCCTGAAAATGCCTCATGAACTGAACATCCCAAGTCAGTCTCCCGTTATCAAGATGATAACAGTCAACAACCATGGCCTGTCGGTGAGAAGCAATCCTATAAAGCCGTGGCAAAGCGAGAGCAAGAGGGCGTTCCCCACACCAAATATCCTTCCAAAAATTGATCCTCCTTCCATCTTTAATTCGAAAGCGAACATGCTTGCAGAAATCATCCCAACCCCTCCGAATGAAATTCCAAACTCCCACCCCCCTTGGGCCACGCCTCGCCAGAGAGCACCACCCACCGCTAGTTGATCAGATATGTGCATTCTTCAGTTTTTTATTTATTATTTTTTATTTTTTATCGTTGAAGTAGAGAATTCTAGGCTCTCGATGGATTTAACTATGTGATTCTAGATCTAACTAATAATTTTTTTTGATCCCGGATAGATCATTTCTGTGTTTTTTTAACTTACCGAAAGCTATCTACTTGTGATTGATACCTTAAATTGATTTTTATTATAGATTCTGCTGATATATTGATTGGTTATGTATGGAATCTTATCATACATATTACTGCACAATTACTGTGCTATGAAGCATCCTTTCTATATATAGTGATAGGGATGGAGCAAGCTTCCATTGTTTGATAGAGGGGAGACAAAGAGGGAAGAAGCAGTCCTCCGAGCCCACCATTTTACTTCCATCTAGAAGTGGAAGGAAGAGGAGAAGAGAAATAATGAATATTTGTTGGATAAAATCGAAAAGACTTTATCACCCTCATTTAAGTGTATTGACTTTTATTAAAAAAAAGAAAAAGAAAAAGAAAGTGCATTAAATTTAAACAATTAAAGGTATAATAGTAAAATAATTATTATATCACCTCTTTCTTTTTCTTAGACTCAACTAAACAAAAGGAGGATGAAAACCCTCCCTTCCCTAGTGATTCCTCTTCCATCTGTCCTCCTATTCCTTCTGTCCATTTGTCCATCCCTCCTACCAAATGTAGCATTACCGTGATTCTATGAAAGTTATTTTTTGAGTACTGAGATTCTATGGATTTTTTTTTTAGTGATTCTAATTCACCGAGACAGAATCTTCAGTTGTTGCCACATTGTTAGATATTCAACACCTGACTTGGTATCTATGTTTTTTATTACTGAGAAGTGCCTATGAAGTGACCTCCATGGTCCCACAAAGCAGGAACCAGAACAGACCCTCAAGGATGCAAAAAGCATGTCTATTCACCACCTGGCTCTGTGGCCAATGCAACAGTTCCTTTCTGGGTCGACACATGTTGCCTTAGTAGACCAGAATCAGACAAGTTAAAACAACATGATACTTGACGCTACAAAACTCTCCTCCTGGGCATGAATAATGGCCACTGTAGAGTAACAAGTAGGCATCTATCTTACAATGATAAGCTTTATCCAAAACTTTTTTCTTCTATTGATGCATGACTTTTGAAGGGATATAAAACCCTAGGAGTAGGTTTTGATGGTTAAGTTGTCTCATCTAGATGGCAGATTGTTCTTGCAGATTGGGTAGCTAAAGGTCTTTGCGAGGCAAACGATGCCATACAGCTATGAACATGTTAGCTTTTTTATTATCAATATAGCAACCTTTGGTCAAGTCATGTGGGTATAATCCGAATAGAGGCAACATCATCATCATCAACAACAACAATGAACAAAGCCTTTTTTCCCAACTACTTGGGGTCAGATAGAAGCAGGGTAATCAGAATAGAGGTGACAGATGGAAAATGGTAGGGGGTATTCATTGCAGTCAGAGACAATATATTATCTGATTGAACAAATTAGGAGTTAAGAGGTTCAAAATCAATCAGTGACTACTGTTAAATTATTTGTTAGGTAAAAGGTACATGTTGAAACTAACTGAAAAAAGAAAATTTTGGATTGATGGGTAGTGGTGACCCTCACTTGGCAGACATCATTAAGCTGAGATACCGGAAAGATGAGCTCAGCTGACATGCCGGATGCCATAGGAAAAATGAGGCTGTTTTGATATTTCTTATATATATATATATATATAAATATATATATATATTTTAAATTTAGAATTTATGTATTTAGATAGTAAGCTTCACCCTGTCCAACATAAAATGAGAAGTTAAAAGTGATGTCAATTGAAAACAAATTGAGATAAATTGTTTAGGATGGGTTGGTCATGTGCAACGTAAAGGAGTTATGAATCAATATGAGTTGATTTGTGTCAAGGACTATAGGAAGGTTGAAACAACTTGGATGAGGGAGTGATTGAGAACATGTCTTTAGCAAAGAGCTGACCTAAGGTGAGGTATCCATGTTGTCAATCCCAAATAATGCACAAGGCTTGTTGCATTGACTTGATTTGAGGATAATAGTTAGAGCGGCCCTGCATTTATTTTAGTGAAGAAGCATTCCAACTCTCAAACAGTTAACGAAGTGGTAATCATACTTTATTTAAACTTTACTTCAATATTCGTAATATTCCCAATTGTAATTATCGAATCTTACCCAAGTTGCTCTTAGTCCTAAATCCTAATGTGGTAATCCTTTGTTTTTCCTCCTTTTCCTTTCTTAATGTCTCTCTTCTTTCTCTTGCAATAGAAAACCGATGATTTAAAATTTGAGTTGCTATTCTGATTGAGAATGTTGCATGGTTTGGCATGATCTTGTCTATTTGTTGTTCCTCTTTACTGGTGTGGGTCTAGTCAAATGTGAATTCCATTTGTCAAAAAAATAGATAAGCTAATCAGCTACTGCAGTATGATGAACTTCTTGGAGGCCATGATTTGAAGATTACTTAAAGGATGATGTTTGTTTGGAATCATTTTATAAACTGAAGACTTTCCATTGGCATTGTTATGGCATCCTGATAATTATCGAATAAGATTTAGGAAAATTTTGGAAACTTCTGGAAGTAGGAGATAGCACAAAAACTGATAAAATTTAGTATATATGAATGGCAGTATTTTCTTTTACATGGTAAGCCAAGAATATGGAACAATGAGGAGGAACTAAGATACATTGACTTGTGGAGACATGGATAAGAACTTCTTTCTGTCCTCATCTGTAATTGAATCAGGAACTTGGAAAGTACGAATGTCAGAATAAGCACTTTCAGATTAATGTTAAAAACGACATTCATTTCAAGTACCTTCAAACATAAATGATTAAATATATGAAACATTACCTAAAAAGGCACTGGTGTTGCTACATAGGGCTTTTGAGGGAAGGGGGAATCTCAATGTGCTTTTAGGATGATAAAGTCACTTGGAGGATCTTGTGTACCCTGCAGCATGTTGGCCTTTGGCAGTAGATCTGCCTAGTATTTGTTGATTTCATTGTGCAGACATAGGTGAGAACTGAGATAAAGGGACAAAAAGCATGAAGGAAGAAAAGCTTGGGTGTCTTTTTTTTATTTATTTATTATTATTATTATTTTTTTATCAAGCATATGAGCCCACATTTTGACAATTTGATCGAATTTTACTTGTATTGGATGCAAGATTACATAGTATATTATTTATTTCCTTGTACCTATTGTTTTATAATGAATGCTCATTTGATAATTTGATCAAATTGATTTATTACATGAACTTAAAGCAACAATTAAAGACAAATAGGTATTACTTGTGCAGTTGATTCGAACCTAGAGTTAGTGGAGATCAATAAGACTTGTGTCCTTTGAAGTGTTTGGTTGTAGAAGCATTTTGCAAGATATTGACTAATGGTGGAGAAACTTCAAAATTGTGTATTCCTTCCAGAGACTGGAAAAGCAACCTAAACCCAAAATGCTAAATAAAGATGGTTCTTAAATGGCCTTAACTATACAACTACGAGCCATGCAAGTACTTCCTGATATTTATAAGGTTAATATGTTTTAATGCGGAAAAGTTTATAGATTAGTCATGTTTCTGTGAATAAATGATAAGTTTGTTACAAGAGAATGGGGCATGAACCTAATAAAGGCGGGGTATATAAAGTTTAACCTGAACATTCCCTAGAAGTCTCCATATAAAGTTTAAGGGGAGAGATTGTATTTCTTTAGATGAGATCATGGACTTTTTGGGGTCTTTGGGTCCATAGTCTTCCTTTTTCTTTTCTTTTTTTTTCGGTTTTTGTATAGCTCTTGGGACGCGTTCCCCCTCTTGAACGCTTTCTAATACATCTTTACTTATCAGAAAAAAAAAAAAAAAAAAAAAAAAAGGAAGTCTCCATTTAGGAAAGCCTAGAGAAAAGAAAAAGGAGATTTCCAAAATAACAATGTTAGGAGTAGCTAGGGCAGTTCTTCGTCATAAAGAATTCTTGTACCCACTCCAACATGGACCAAAATATAAATGGCTATATTGTCTTTTATGTACTTTTCTTTGCTTACGATACTTGTGGCATGGATAGTTGCAAATTGCAGTGTGCAAATTCTCCACAACAAGCGTAATTGCAATTTTCTGTAAATATGTGGACAAAAAATTTACTCACCTACCTTTTCTAACTCATTTTCATTTGGATTCGTAGTTGCTTGATACTGGTTTCTTCCATGCTGATCCACATCCTGGGAATATGATCCGCACTCCAGATGGGAAACTAGCTATACTTGACTTTGGTAACAATCTATTATATGAGTATAGGGTGAAAGATCATCTTTCCACATGGTTAGCAGCATCATATGCATATACTTGTTTGAAGTACTCTGTGATCTTAGTTGTACATTCTTCTTAATTGTAGAAATAACTTTAGTAAACATTTTTGAATATCCAAGCCTGGCAAACCTTTTTTACTAAGTTGCCTACATACAAAATAGGAACATGGAATTTAGAAGAAAACTGCATTGATGTATGGTGAGATGACTGATTGTTTTAATAACAAAGAATATCCTTTTTAGCTTAACAGAAAATTCAACCAACCTCCTCTCGAGCAAGACAAATTTATAATCTTTTGCATATGTGATAATTCTGCCTAGGAATCCAACCCCCTTAAACCATAAATATATCCAATAGATCACCACACATAACCATGATATTAGGTAAACTTATCTCATCTAGAAAATGGGCCTGGAGTTTGCTTTTGCACCAATTATCGCAGGAAGGAATAGACAGAAAACACAAGAAGATGAAGGCAGTCCATAATCTTGTTAACTCTCCACAATAATAATTGTTGTTTATCATGAGAGACAGAGAGAAGGAGAAAGAGGACTTGTTCTATATCACACACACACATATACAAACCTAATAAGCCTATATAGGCTTATATAAGGGATACAAGTTACCTTAATAACATAAGGGCCCTACTAACATAATGTAATTACATAATGGCCCAACATATATGTATATATATATAACATTCTAACATTCCCCCTCAAGCTGGAGAATATATATCAAATAATCCCAACTTGGAATAGATAGTTCTTAAGCGGTTATGACCCAATGCTTTGGTAAACATATCAGCTAATTGATCTTCAGACTTCACAAATGGAGTAGAGATGCTCCCACGCAATATCTTTTCTCGAATGAAGTAACAATCAACTTCAATATGTTTAGTCCTCTCATGAAACACAGGATTTGAGGCAATGTGAACTGCTGCTTGATTATCACAGAACAATGGAGTAAGAGCTTCAATTGTCAAACCCAAGTTCTTTTAGAAAATGTTGTATCCGGGTCAACTCACCAGTAGTATAGGCCATTGCCCTATACTTAGCTTCAGCAGTAGATCGAGCTACCACTGTTTGCTTTTTACTTTGTCATGTAACAAGATTTCCTCTTACAAATGTGCAGTAGCCTGTAGTAGATCTCCTATTTGAAGGAGAACCAGCCCAGTCGGCATCTGTAAAACCTTCCACTCTGAGATGACCATTTGATTTATATAGTAACCCAACACCTGGAGCTTGCTTGAGATATCGATAATCCGAAGAACAGCAATCCAATGTGGCATTCTAGGAGCTCCCATGAACTGACTTACAACACTAACTGCACATGAAATATCGGTCGAGTGATAGTGAGATAAATTAATTTCCCAACAAGGCGACGAAATCTGCCCATATCATTAAATAGAGCACCCTCATCAGACACAAGTTTTGTATTCGAATCCATAGGAGCATCAACCGGGCGACCACCCAACATACCTGTTTCTTCTAATAAATCCAACACATATTTTCGTTGGGATAAACTTATACCTTTCTTGGATCTAGCAACTTCAATACCCAAGAAATACCTAAGTTTACCCAAGTCTTTAGTGTGGAATCGATATTGCCGAAACAACTTCAACTTAGCAATCCCTTCAGAATCATCACCTGTGATCACAATATCATCTACATATACCACAAGAAAGATGAAGCCAGCTTTAGTGCGCTGGTGAAATACTGAATGGTCAGTTTGACATCTGTTAAGACCAAATTTTAATGCCGCCTCAGAGAATTTTCCAAACCAAGCCCGTGGAGATTGTTTCAATCCATATAAAGCCTTTTTAAGGCAACAAACAGTGTGAAGATACTCCCCCTGAGCAACAAACCCAGGTGGTTGCTCCATATAAACCTTTTCAGCTAAGTCACCATGCAAAAAGACATTTTTAATGTCTAACTGAAACAGAGGCCAATGTTTATTAGCAGCAAGAGAAATCAAAACACGAATAGAAGAAATCTTAGCAACAGGGGCAAACGTCTCATCATAGTCAATACCATAAGTCTGGGTATAACCTTTGGCAACAAGACGAGCTTTTAAACGCTCAACGGACCCATCTGGAAGATACTTCACAGTGTATACCTAGCGACAACCAACCGGTTTGACACCTGGAGGTAATGAAACAAGATTCCACGTGCCATTTTGATGCAAAGCATCCATTTCATCTTGCATTGCTTTCCTCCAGCCCGAATCAGACAAAGCATCCTGCACAGTCTTAGGAAAAAATTTAGTAGACAATTGAGAGGAAAAACATGAGAAGGATGGCGATAGGGAATTATAAGAGACATAATGAGCAATGGGATAATTAGTGACACACGAGCGAGTAACTTTACGAAGTGTAATAGGCAATGAATCAGACACAGTGGACTGTGTTGGATCGAAAGACTCTGAAGATGATGGAGGAGGCACAACAGCAGATGGCTTTAGTCTTTGTGTGTACATAGGGGTGGCAATTCGTGTTGGCGTGTCGTGTTCGTGTCGACACGATTACGACACGGACACGATTAGGGTTGACACAAACACGACACGATTATTAATCGTGTCTAAGACCTTTGACACGAACACGACACGATTATTATACATGTAACACGACACGACACGCATAACCTGTTTAATAAATGGGTCAAGACTTGACACGACACGAAAAGACACATTTAAGTCATTTTTGACACGAATACGACATAGTTTGCTAAATAGGTCATTTTTGACACGAACACGACACGTTTATCTGACTCGTTTAGTTAATTGGGTTAATCGTGTCATAATCGTGTTTACGGGGTCAAACACAAATACGAACACGACACGTTTAGTTAGCTGGTTAATCCGTGTCGACACGATTATGACATGAACACGATTAGCCCAAACCTTAACCCGCTTATCTCGTGTCGTGTTTGAGTTGTGTTAGCGTGTCGTGTCAAATATTGCCATCCCTATGTGTACACCTGTAACAGGGTAGGCAAAAGAGATCTAGGTTGAAGAGAGAGTGAGGGAAGTGGAATTGCAGGAAGAGGCGACTCAGGAGTAATATCAAGAATTGAATCACTATCTGAAAAATATGGGACGGACTCACAAAAGGTCACATCCGCGCTAATAAAGTACCGTTGAGGAACAGGACTATAGCAGCGATAACCTTTATGGGAACGAGAGTATCTAAGAAATACACACTTTGTGGCATGTGGATCAAGTTTATCAAAACCCGGACCAAGATTGTGGACATAACATACACATCCAAAAACTTTAAGAGTAAGAGAAAACAAAGGAGAATCAGGAAATAAAATAGAATGTGGAGATTTGCCATCTAATACAGATGACGGCATACGGTTAATTAGATGACAGGCAATAAGAACAACATCACCACAAAACCGTTTAGGCTTGCGCATATGAAACAAAAGAGCACGGGTTACTTCTAAGAGATGTCGATTCTTACGTTCTGCAAATCCATTTTGTTGAGGAGTATAAACACATGAATTTTGATGAAGAATTCCTTTATCACTAAGATATGTATTAAAGGGTGTTGAAGAATATTCCTTAGCATTATCAAAACGTAAAATACAAATTGGACAGCCAAACTGAGTTTTAATTTCTTTTCGAAATTTTTGAAAAATTAAAAATAACTCAGAACGATCTTTAATCAGAAACAACCAAGTCAGACGAGAATAATCATCCACAAATGTCACAAAATAATGAAATTTATTGATTGAAGAATGTTTTATTGGACCCCATACATCTGAATGAACCAAATGAAAAGGACTAGAGACACGATTATTAACCCTAGACTTGAAAGACACGCGATGGTGATTACTAAGTTGACAAACTTCACACGACAAGAATTTCAAATTACTAAGAGTAGGAACTTGACGCTGCAAAACTTGAAGTGACGGGTGACCAAGACGACAGTGCCACTGGAATGGAGACAGAGAAGACTGAAGAGCCACAGGATAAGGTGCCACATCAAAGTAATATAAGCCACCAGCTTCATACCCTGTACCAATCATCTTCTTCGTCTTGAGATCCTGAAACACACAAAAAGTAGGATAAAATGTAACAGAGCACTGAAGAGATTTAGTAAGCTTACTGACAGACATTAAATTAAAGGGAAACTAAGGAACATATAAAACAGACGAGAGAGACAAGGAATCACTAAGTTGAGTTGTCCCCAAACCTGAAACCTTAGCGGAGGAACCGTTAGCAAGGGTAGAAGTAAAATCAGATAGAAGAGAAGAACATCCAGTCATATGATCGGATGCTCCAGTGTCTATGATCCAAGGACTGCGAGTGGAAGACAATAGACATGTGTGTGCAGTACCTGACTGGACAAAAGTAGCTGTGGAAGATGAATTAGATGCTTGCTTATAAGACAAAAACTAGGTATACTCGTCACGTGGGACAGGGACCGTATTTGATTCAGCTACATTATGAGATCCAGAAGCAACATCATTCGGAGAGGAGGAAACTTGATTTGCATAACTAGATGGTTTGCCATGAAGATCCCAACAAAAATTCACAGTATGATTAGAAAGGCCACAATGAGTACATTTTCGTAAGTCCCTGCCACGGCCACGTCCTCCCTGTGAATCACGACCGCCACTTGTGGAGCGTCTCCTACGACTGCCACGGAAAGTAGTATTTTTACGCTTTGAAACGATTAATGCTGAACGCTCACCACTCTGCCCAGTATTCAAAGTTGAAGTATCACTGACAAGTGTAGCGCGCTGAAGTCTAGAAAATACTTCAGCAAGAGATGGAAGTGTGGGACTGCCCAAAATCTGTGAAAGAAAACGGACAACATTAAAATCATCACGTTGTTGTTGCATACTTCGAACATCAGCAGTAATGGGCTGATACATATTCAGCTCCTCACAAACTCCCATAACTGTGGAATAATACTGTTCTATACTGTGATTACCTTGTTCAAGACTGAAAGACTGCTTACAGAGCTCATAAACACGAGTGATATTACCTATTCCAGAATACAGTTGCTGCAATCTGTCCCATATCTCCTTGGCAGTATCCAAATAAAGTAAAGTTGTACTGATTTGGGGTTCAATACTATTTATCATCACAGAGATGATCTGAGCATCTTCCTTTTCCCATGCATAAAAAGAAGCATCAGTTTCCTTGAGTTTCTCTTTAGTCAAATGAGTACCGAGACCTTTATCTTTGAGAAATTTTTTAACAGATTTAGCCCACAGTGTGTAATTCTTCCCATTGAGTTTAACAGAAGTCATGGGAGAATGAAGACTAGAGGTGGGAGAAAACAAATCTGAACTGGATGCCATGTTGTACTCAGCAAAATAGAGAAGAAAAAAAAACACAGAATCGGTATTCAGATCCGAACCTGGCAAATGGGCCGGATCTGGGCTATCCAGGGTTGGAATAGCTATTCCAGGTATAGTAAACCAGGATTGGAATAACATAACAGTGTAGCCAAACAAGGGTCTTCTTCTTCACACCTTTACAAACGCCGGTGAACAAAGCAGAGGAGACAATGGCGACTCAGGCACAAGCAACGGCCGAATTAAGAGACAGCTACCTCTGCAACTTCCGGCCAAAACAAAAAATTCAATGAATCTCTCCTCTGTAAATCAAGACGGTAGATCTGATACCAGACCTGATGATGAGCTCGCTGATAACCAAAACAAGAAGCTGCCGGCAATGACGATGACGAACGATGCAGATCTGATGACGACGAATGATGATGCAGATCCGATGACAGTGAACAAGGAGCTGCCGGTGATGAACGAAACACCAACACCACAATCGCGATTCCGATTGTGATTCCGATCTTAAACCACACAATTACAGACCCTCACACTCATGAATTCGTAGCGCTCTGATACCATGTTGTTTATCATGAGAGATAAAGAGAAGGAGAAAGAGGACTTGTTCCATATCACACACACACATATACAATCCTAATAAGCCAATATAGGCTTATATAAGGGATACAAGTCACCTTAATAGCACAAGGGCCCTACTGACATAATGTAATTACATAATGGCCCAACATATATATATATATATAACATTCTAACAATAATCATAAAATCAGCAGTCCTCTCGTAGCTGCTGATTTCTTTTGCATCTATCAAAAAAAAAAAAAATTACCAACTAACGAAAAGATAAAAGATAAAAACCAGTTTATCAAATCCGTAGAAGATAGAATAATCCTGGAACATATCTCTAGAATCTACTGGCATGTGGGTCCCATCCTGATCATGCTAGTGGCCTCAGAACTAAAACTTTTCAAGAGCTTTCGCTATTGTTAAGAAAAATCTCAAATGCGTGATGTCATTTTTACAGGCGTTAAGGCAAGAAATACTTGCATGTTCATGACTGAATGTATTAAACTAGCCAAATAATTTTATCAGAAGAGCAAACAACTCTCGCTCAATCAGTTTCATTCTTCCAAGTTCCGTAGTGTTGAAGGATTTATATATTTAAGTTACACCCACTCTAATAGCGTAAGCTTTTGGAGTAGATGGTTGTTAACATAGTATTAGAGCCAAAGGTCGCGAGTTCAAATCTCACCGTCACCCTAATTAAAAAATTGAAAAACATGCATTGGATCAAAAAGAAGGCCACACGTGAGGGGGCGTTTTGAAGGATTTATATATTTTAGCCCTCTCTAATAGCTTAAGCTTTTGGAGTAGATGGTTGTTAACATGGTATCAGAGCCAAAGCTCTCGAGTTCAGACCTCACCGTCACCCTAATTAAAAATTTTAAAAACACTTGTTTAACCAAAAAGAAGGCTACACGTGAGGGGGCGTGTTGAAGGATTTATATATTTAAGCCCTCTCTAATAGCTTAAGCTTTTGGAGTTGATGGTTGTTAACACTTAGCAAACAAAATCTAGAGTTGCTATCGAGCAACCATCTTCTTTAATATTGCTTTTTTTTTTTCCCCTGTAAAAGCTAGACAACTCCAATATGGCTAAAGACACAAGACCATCAAACTTTGCTCATATGAACTATCACAAAGAGACATCAAGAAGAATTAGCTTATTAAATACTGATGGAGCAAAGAGTCTTCTCTATCAGGGAGAGTTTTGAAGCTAGAAATGAATAAATGAGGTTAATAGTCCCACAATTGCTAGCGCAAGTTAGGCACATGGAGGGGCTAAGGGCTTCACCACCTTTAAAACTGGAAATGAATAGACAAGAGGTTAATAGTCCCACAACTGCCAGCACAGGTTAGGGACATGGCAGGGCTAAGGGCTTCTCACTTTTATTTGTGTCCACCTTTTTTTTTTAGTCATATCAATTTAAAGCGTTGATTTGTATCAGAACCTTGCCTTATGAGAACAAATATCATTCAGAAGCATAAAAGAAGTAACTTGTAAGTCTTGATTTTTCATCATCATTCATGTATGAGAAAAAAATGAAATTCCAAGTGAACAATCTCTAAAATAAAAGTAATAGAAAAGAAGCTGGTATGGATCTAGAAAGATGGAATAGGTGAGGCAAAGCATATTCTGAAGAGTGTCTCTCCACTTCAAGTTTTTAAAATATTAATCTAGTTGTCAAGGGTGAAAATGAGTGTTGAACGATGAATATGGATGTACGCAAGAAAAAACTGGGTCATCTCCTTATCAACTAAGATGGCAATATGTGACTGTCCCTCAAAACATAATGGGCATTCCATGCTGCATCCCAGAAACCATAGTTGTTCTGGATAACTGGTGGCAAAGTGAGTAATGCTCTCTAGGAAGACGTGACAAACTTCAGTTGGCTACTTGGCATTAATGAAAGAACATGTGCTGTTTAATGTTTTAAGGATCTTTGGGCTTCTACAATATAGTTATTTAGTTAGTCTCTTGGTCAGTATCCAGTACGGATTGTGCAATCACATACTTGGCTAAAAGAACTACATGTTTGCTCTAGTAGTTGTAGGATGTTAATATCTCTCTTTTTAGGCTGGCCACTTCAATTCCAAGAAAAGCTTAACTTTGATATTTATTTCCAAATATCCTACTAACATCCACTCCACAGGACACTTAATTCAGTTGCATCAGCTCTAGTAGTCACAAATATGGAAAGAATGGGGGAACTAGTCCTATGTAATTAAAATTTGAAAATTATAAATCAATTGTGATACTCCCTCCGTCTCAAATTAAATGTCCACCTTTCCATTTTTGGCCGTCTCAAAATAAATGTCCCATTTGACAAGTCAAAGTACTATTTTTTGTAACATTACCAATTTAACCTTCTTACATTGAACTTATAAAAAGTGAACCATCACATCTTGTGGAACCAATATAGACATATTTGGTAATTCATTCACTACCAATACAATAAAAAAATATTAAAACCCATTCCCTTAAAAGGTTAGATTCCTGAAAAGGGACATTTAATTTGAGATGGAGGGAGTATTATTTATTTTATAATATCAGTCTTAGACTGTGTGTGGGTGTACATATATATTGAGAAAAATATAATCCAAAAAATGAGAAAAATGCAACCAATAATAAACTTTTATTTTTTGTACCAAAAATATATCGGGTCGGGTTCCATCGTGAAGGGCATTTGAGTCATTTAAAGGGGCATTTCGGTCATATAGAGAGTCAAACTTCGCACATGACATGTCGTATTTTTTCCGTTATGGTTTGATGGCAAACTAATGAGAAGGAGGTAAGTTGATGGATTTTTAAAACGCCAAGGGGGTTTAATGGAGTTTAATTGGTATAAGGGGGTTATATTATAAATATTTATAGTATAAGGGTCTTTGTGATTTTACCCTGCAAAATAACTATTTTGAGGCTATAACAAGAATTTTGAAACATTTTGGGGGAAGTGGGGGCATTGCCCCCCATCCCCCTCTAGCTAGCTCCTCCCCCTAAATCCGACAATGGTTTCTAGTGTCATGATTTTCAATTATTCATCAATGGATTTAGTAAGTCCCTTAAACATATTTCTTATGGATATCCCATTACAAAGTCGTATGTTAGATATATGTTTTCTAAAGTTTGCTTTTGTTGTTTAGGCCTGGTCACAAAATTAACAGACGATCAGAAATATGGAATGATTGAAGCTATTGCTCACCTTATTCATCGGGATTATGGAGCTATAGTCAAAGACTTTGTCAAACTTGATTTCATTCCAGAAGGAGTTAATTTGGAACCCATTTTGCCTGTACTGGCCAAAGTTTTTGACCAGGCACTTGAAGGCGGGGGAGCAAAAAATATCAACTTTCAGGAGCTGGCATCCGATTTGGCTCAAATAACGTTTGATTATCCATTTAGGATACCGCCTTACTTTGCTCTTATAATTAGAGCAATAGGGGTGCTAGAAGGAATAGCTTTAGTGGGGAATCCAGATTTTGCCATTGTAGATGAAGCCTACCCATACATTGCTCAGGTATGGAAGAACTATTGGCATGTTGGTACTAGTAGGACCCTATTCATTGATAAGTCAAAAATATTCTTATATGCAAATGCATGTTGTTAGATCTCCCAGTGGGAAATCCAAATACTATTCTAGTATTCTCAAGTATTTTGGATGAGAACACAAGTAAGCTCCTAAATTTGATAACTTTTCTTTAAAAAAAATATTAAAATATTTATCAAAAAAAAATTTGATAACTTTCTTTTTTCTGGTAAGTCCTAAATTTAAGTACTTGTTACATTGTTAATTGTTTTGTGATAAACATCATCGGAATAAGATTGTGGATGTTCCTACAAGCTACATAATCAGACTTTAACAATCTTTTGCAGTCATTCATATATTTTCTAATCAATTGTTATGGTAGCTGAATTGTAATTCAATATCTAAACCAACACATCAAGTATCTGAATTGTTACTTCTGTAACAAATTTATTTGGAACAAATTCCCTAAGTTGTTGAAATGGCCATGGTAATTGTCTTTAAAGAATCCCTTTTGTTTTCTCATTTAGAAATTTCCAGTTGGAATAGCCTTAAAAGAATTTCCCAAGTCTGTTGACTTCTAGTGTCAAACTGGTTTGGCAATTAGAAGCTATGGTTTTGAGTCTTGAAGCTTAAGTAGTGTGATGCATGTCTTCATCCAACTACCGCAAGTGCTTTCCAACTTTTGTGAACCAGTTCATTAACTGATAGTTCCTAAGCCCTCTTACTTTGTCTTATTTTTGCTCCATGTCAGTCAAAATTAAAGATTAGTGTGATCTTTCTTTATTTTAATGTCAGAGGCTTCTGACTGATGAATCGCCACGCCTAAGGAAGGCTTTGCGTTACACTATATATGGAAAATCTGGAGTTTTTGATGCTGAAAGATTCATAGATGTTATGCAAGCCTTCGAAAATTTCATAACTGCCGCCAAAAGTGGAGGTGGGGAGGATCTGAATGGGGGGATGGCTGAGCTTGGCATCCTGCAAAGTCAAAGTGGTTACATCTTTCCTGGATTTCCATCAAGCACATCTCAATCAGAGCAGCCAATTCAAACCAGGGCAGCATTAGCATTTCTGCTATCTGAGAAGGGGAACTTTTTCCGAGAATTTCTCTTGGATGAGGTACTTTCATAATAAATATTATAGTAGTGTGACCCTGGTATTATTGATCATTGCATCTAATTTATAGGAGCTTCAGGCCTTCAATTGTCATTAGGCATAGAGGTATCTAAATTTTCATCTCTAAATGTTTTAAGGCACTACATTAAATCTTGGTCTCTAAATGTTTTTCTTGGTTGTTGCTTGTCATCAGACTCATTACTTCTGTTGTTATAATCACTAACGAACTAGATACACACACACACACACACACACACAAACAAAACAAAAAAAAAAAGAAAAGAAGAAGAATAAACCATACAATAGAATAGGAGACACAGAAAAATAATTCAATCACAACTTTCCGTATTAAGCAAAATTTCAATTTGCTATGTCCATCCTTAAAACTGACATTTCAGTTAAATCTAATGTTTTTTTCTCAGAAAATTTTGATGATTTAATTGCTATTTTTGTTGTAAATTCATGATGTCTGGTTCAGAATCCTGAGGCAAATATTGGCTCCTTTTTTTCACCAATGAATAAGTTCAATGCTGAGTACTTACTACTCCTTTTGCCTTTCTTAAACTGACTTCTTCAGTTAAATATCACGTTTTTCACAGGAAATTTAATCTTGGAGAGAAAATTGGCTCATTTTTTTCACCAATGAACAAGTTTGATGCTGATAACTTATTACTCATTTCAGACATCATCTAATTTTCACGTTCATAAAGATAAAAGAAATAATAATCCTCTCCGAGTCCCGTTATATCTCTGGATTTAATGGTCCTGCTCATTTTTTATCTATTAACTATGGACTCATTTTTGTTCTGTTCATGTTTAGTTTTTCTCCTTTCTTTTTGTATTTTGGCTTAAAGGTTCAAACATCATATCATTGATTACTTGCTGTTTACTTTTAACAATCATATTTTTGGTTTCTTAGACATCATTCAATAATTACCTGCTGCATTGAGTTTCCCGAGTGGAGTTTTTTTTAATGATTTTTTATTTTCTGCTCACCTCCTAAATTGTTAGATGCAATGATCTGTTTTAGATTAGAACTTATTTGTCTATTTTCTTCTTTCCTTCCCTGACTTGAAAGAAATCAGAGTTATGATTTGTAAATTATTGGCGTTCTTTTCAAGAGAACAGTGTGTTGCTTGAATTATATGATATAATCATATGACTTGCTGGTATTGGCTGCAGATTATTTTATAAGATCAGATACGAGTAATCTTGATAATCTGACTTCTGTCTTTAACATGGAAAACAGATTGTGAAGGGCATTGATGCACTTACAAGGGAACAGCTAGTACAACTAATGGCAGTCCTAGGAATTGGAAATGCTGCCCCAGTTTTCAGCATGGTTCCGTCTTTGGGACCTATTAGACCTGCAGCACTTTTACCAACCATAACTGACGAGGACAAAGTCATATTGAACAATGTTGAAAAAGTAGTTGAATTCTTAACTGCAGGGAGTTTAACATCAAGATCATCAAATCAGGTACCTTAAATTTTTCTGTTTAATAATTGAAACTTCATTAAAAAACAAGAGGATATATTTCCAAATTAAATATGAATTTTAGTATGGCACACTGATATATTTAATTTTGGTTTGTATTAAGAAGTTAATTATTCTTTTTTTTTTTTTTAACAAACTGGTTCTTAATAGATGAGTGATCTACGTGGTTTAGGTTCTTTTTCACCAAAATTATTGTGTCATGTCTTATAGACTATGATTTGTTCTAAATTCACACAATATGATTGTTGGTCTTAATCTCATATTAATTAATTTAGTATTGACATACCATTTTAATGTTTAGTGTGTTTTGCCTTTTATATTTAGATTTATTATGGTTCTGGTGGATGTCTTCGAAAGTTTGGTCTTGTAAGGGAGTTTGATCTAAATATTTAACTGATGATAAGAGAGACCTGTTAGGGGGTGGAGATTGGAGGTGCAAGCAACTCAAAGAACCCTCAAGTTGATTGAGAAGGGCTCCGCCTTCTGTACCATTATCCAATTTTCTTTTTTACTATTTATTTATTTATTGTTTGGGGGAGGGTGTTATTCAGTTGGTGCTTCTGGGCAGGGATGTTTTGGGACGGGTTTGGGTTTGCAGTTTTTTGGTTCAGGTTAGGTGACACAGAGACAATGAGGGCTTTGTCAAGGTGTTTGAAGGGCAAGGGGACATCAATTGAAGCTGGTAAGGAGGTTAGTTATTCCGGTACATGGAAATGTGGAAGGAGAAAAACCCTAGTTTTATTCTCAGAGGATGTAAGGGGTGGAGCTCCATAGGGCAATTTCTGGAAAGCTTCAAGAAGAAATCCTATCGGTAGGTGTTGGAAACCTATACAGTTGCTGGAAGAAGATGCTTTTAGCAGTCAGGGTTTCTGTTTATACAATGCTATCAAAGATGATTATGAGTCATAGACTTCAGCATCTACATAAATGTCTAGTGGGTTGTGTAGGTGCGATACGGTTGTTCTGGTGATGGCTAGTAAGTAATAAGGTGTAGTACAGTGTAATATTCCAGCAGGAGTAAAGGTGTTGGACCTTAGTGGTTCACTACTTTTTAAGTTCCCCTTTGTGGCGGAGGCCGACTTTACCTTGGAAGAGAAACACTTGATGTTTGAATGATTCATTTTAACGTATGATTGACGGGTGAACAAAACCTAGTGTATTGGCAGAGAGTTCAATGTCAGTTGATTTCTTATGCAAAGTTTTGGTCCTGGCATCTTTGCATCTTTGAAGAAAATTTGGATTTTAGCGAGGCTTATGAGCTTAAGGATATTCTTCGTGAAGGGGAAAGTTTCAGTGAGTCAAATTATAAATTATAGAGTGCCTACTTTGATGTCTTGAATGGGAGGAACACTTCTTGGGTGGTTCTTAGGTCTCTACCAAACCAGATTCGTAACATTATTATTGTACTTAATAGTGGTGGGGTTCATTGTGGAGAAGGGTGCTAAGTTTTATGGCTCGAATTTGGAGTGCGAGTAGCATTCTGGCAGACGTGAACAAATTCAAGTTATTTGGAACCAGTTCAATTTTTTCATGAACCAGTTGGACATGCAACCCCAATTGAACCAGTTTAAGAAAAGTTGAACCAGTTGGATCTAGAAGACTGCTATTTTAGAGTTGAAGATTGATATGGCAACTCCTTGTGGCAAGTTGAGGAATACTTGTCCAACAAAAAATTGAGTTTAAAGACTATAAATATATATGGGTTGAGAGGTGTAGAAAAATAGAGAGAATAAGATGTAAGGGGTTTAAGGGTGAGTGTTGTGAGGAAATGGGAGACTATATGTAATTCCCGAGGGTATAAATGTAGCCTCAAAAGAGAGAGTGAGTGGGGTTTTGACATCTGGTTGTATATTATCTTTCTTGATTCATAATAGTGGAAATCTCTCTCTCCATGGACGTAGCCCTAGAGTTGGGTGAACTATGTAAAAATATTGTGTCGTGTGTGAATCTGTATGATTGTTCTCTCCCTATATGCTTGTGTTGTGAGATGTGATGATGCTTCAGTTGTGTATGATGAAGGAGGGATTTAACTCTCAACAACAACTGACTTTTGTTGAGTGGGTTGGAGGAAGTTATTATGCCCAACAAAGGGTCTATTCTGGTATTTAGAAATTGTGGTTGAGGCGGCAAATTTTGTGGAAATGGTATAGTGGTGGAGAGGGTATAGAGTCGAGGGCTTTGTAATTTTGTTCCAGCCAAGAAAACCAAGACATTGGAGGAAAAATTGGAACAATGGAATGGAAATGAGTTAATTGATTTTGCCATCAGGAGAAATAGTGGATGTTCTAGACATGCTCTGAGAGTTGCAGATTGCTGCTACAGGATCTGTGCTTGCCTATATTATATGACATGATAAATACATGTGGAACAATGCTTGAATAATGAAGAAAATCAATTTCTTGCTAGAATGGGAACAATTATTTTATTAACTATAATACATATGTTCAATTTTCAAATTTCTGGAGATGAAGAGGCATGCAATTGCCTTGTCCACCACACCTGAAACAATCTTTCTTACTGGTGTTTCTTCTTTGTGCATATACAGGGTATTAATGTTATTCGGGTGATTCAAGAGCTTCTTCCAGTTTTGCCAGGGCTCTCCTCGGTGGCTCCGGAGGTCCTCAGTCGATTGTCTTCTCGAGTATTCGCACGCTTAATTCGGGATATATTTTTGCAATGAAGTTTCTGTAGCCTTGCTGCTTAAGGTCCCTCAATTGTGCATATGTTGTACAAATTATTGAGATCATGTATATATATATATATGCAAATTGGTCTCACTAATCCATGTCTGTTGCATTTATTTATCTCACTGCTCCCACGCAAACCAATTGATTGAAGTCTTAGTTCTTGTATGTCAGATCAAATGACTCTGAGATGTAAAGTTCGATGATATGGAAATTCACAGGAAATCTAACAACGATGTTATGCAATGAAAGAAGTTATAACCACACTTTACTTTTGTTCTCCTGTCATTCATGCGTTAAAATGAAGAGATGGTTGAGTTGTTAAACTGATTGCCTGTTTGCTTTGTAGAAATGGTGCCGGAGTTTTTCTCTCCTTTCGATGCCGTGCTTTGGATTTGAAGGGCTCAAGGTATCGTGTGGCTATGCATTGTAGGTGCACAAATTGTTGTTAAACTGGACTAGGAGGAAGTTCAAGAAATATTAACCAACATCAAAAGGCAAAAATTGAGGGCTTCAAAGATATCCTTTCCTTTTGCTCACAATGATGTTATATTTTAAAATGGGTAAATACTAATATGTGCAAGTGGTGACGTATAGCAAAACAAATGGTTCTCAAACTATGTAGCACAGACACCATACGATACGGATATGTTGATACGTTAAATTTTTAAAAAGTAAAACATGGATAAGGCATGGACACGGCTACATATAAATATAAATATTTAATTTTATAAATATATTCTGAAATAATATTATAAAACTTTAATTCATTTATAATTTATATACTAAAAGTTTGTTTGAAATGAATTAGAAAATGAAATTATATAATTATTGTAATGATTTTTATATCATATATATCATTATTTCATTAATTTGTTATGATAATATTTACATTATTTTCAAGGTTACCGGTAGACTTGTGTTAGAAATGTCCGAAAAGTGTTGGTGAAGTGTCTGAAAAGTGTTGGTCAAGTGTTCGGAAAGTGTCGACGAAATATCCGAAAGAATAAAATTAATTTTTATTTATGGACATGTATATGAAGTGTCGGACACGTATCTAAGAAGTGTCCGAGGAGTGTCGGTGTCTGACAAGGATACGACACCAGTACAGCTTCTTCGTAGAAGTGTCCGTGCTTCCTAGTTCTCAAATGATAGTAGTGAAGTACTAATGGACTGCTTTCTTTGCAAGGCCATTACTTTTACAGTATAGCTGCATTGCTCACTGTGGGGCCCTTTTATGGTATAGCTGAATTGCTCACTACGGGGAAAGTCGCACAATCCTTCTCAATATGCTTTGTGCACGATCTAGTTCTCACTATTTGTGACTTCATTTTCCGCTTTCAGGCTTCCGCTCTCAAATTCACTCTCGCTCTCGCTTTATGTGACCTAGGGAGCGAGCAATAATATCCGGGGGTTCAGTGATTTTCGTCATCATCGAGTGGCTATTGTTAGAACAAATCTTGTGCATGGCATGGCTAAGATGAAGCCAACAAAATCTACAATTGTAGCTTGAATAATATTGTCATTCTAGTAATGATCAGCCAAGTCCGGTTAGGCATACGTTTTCTAACTCGGGTAATTTAGCTATGCTGTTGAGGATGTGCAAGACGACTCCATCAGGTACAGCTTCTGCACTCTACTTCTAAAGAAGCTCAGGTTGATCACAATATCACAAGATATAAAAGGACCTCGAAACTGATGTTTCAGAACTGATGCTGCCGGGAAGTAGAAGGCTGTATTTTCATTTACTTTACCTTTTCTAACCATCACAGATGATTATGGATATCACAATCAGTCGTGACTGACTGCAAAACCGAGGAATAAAACAGTGGGCAGTGATTTTCCCAAATTGAGTATTTATAGCAGAAGTTTACTGCTGCATTCGAAAACCAATGCCAATTTCACTAAAACCCTCTCCTCACCTCCATCGTAGTCCCTCCAAGGGTACCTTTATTTATTTTTCATTTCAAATTAATTGGCTGAGTGACATGATGAAAAGAGAGAGAACCAATATGACAAGTCCAAGTAGAAGAATCGCGCACGAGAAGTTATTCAAAATTTCCAAATATCCTGTCATTTCTCCATGCTAACATGGACGAAAAGGTCCCATTTAAAATGAATACATAATTCTTCTCATTTACACAGCCATTTGATTTTAAGAACATACATTTAATTCAAGAAAAAAGTGGCAATCTCTGCTCACCTGAAGCGTAAGAGATAATATTCTTTTTTAGTGGCGAGATAAATTGTGCCCCATGGAATGCAGCAGCTCGTAGTATATTTAGAGGTCCAAAATCAACAGAGTATGCCTTCTGAAAACCATCTAGGATAGCCATCATTGCAATGTTCGCTGGTTTCCTATCTGCTTCGTATTTTTTCAACAAAGATGCCTGCACAAAAACCAAGACCAGACTCAAGTGATAAGGAATTAACTATACATGACGAAGGAACTCAGCACTGTGAGCAAATTTTTACAGTAAAATTTGAACTTGGCGATTGTAGTAATCTTTCTTACTCAAAATATTTGTTATTCATATCACAATGATCAAGGCAAACAGAATAATTCCATTAATATACCCAACAAAACATCCCAAGTCAAATTCTTCAACCAGTACCTTGGTTTCTTTTAACTACTCTAATTAGTGCCTATGTTAATGACTCCCACTACAAGACATTACGAATTAGGAAAATATAGCAGTAAGAAGTTTCTTGTCAATTCTTTAGTACAATAAGTTACTGGAAGAATAGATTTTGAGCAGCAGACCATTCATTTTCTCCAGAGAAGCGTTTGTTTGAAAAAATTATGCAGCATTTCTGAAATCAGAACCACCAAGATATTCTTCAGTAACGGATACTCTAGTTGTGGGGTTGTGAATGGAATAAAAAGATTAGGAATGTATTATCCATGGGTAAGATGAACTGATTGTTATCCTTATGATGAGATATTGATGACTATTCAATCTCTTTCTTCCCCAGCTACTAAATTGTAAGGGTGATTTCTCCTTCATACATTCCTATACTTCTGTTCTAATAAATCTATTACTCAAGGATCTATTTGATATATGTGAAAAACATCAGCAAGCAGAACTATCATGTTTTACTCGAAATTTCAGATGGCATATATACGTATTTACATAATTTTAAATATTTATATTTTAATACTGTCTAAAAAATTTTGTTGGCCTTATAGTTCCTTTTTGTTTCAATTCTAATAAGTTGTCTTTTACACGTTTCAAACTAAATTTGCTTCTTGAGGTTCATATGAATGTCAAGATTTTAATCCACTCACACACTTGAGGTCCAGACATCAATTTGAAAACATAGATATCCTATCATTAAAGTCCAAACGTATTTTGCATGTTCAGATATTACAGTAAAACTGCTGCAAGTAGCGACGGAGAATAACAAGATGGAATAACAAATTTCAATGGAAGGCTGAAAAAACTGCAAGAATCAATTTTTATGCGCTTGATAATCAACTCTCTTATTTATTCTAAGAGAAATGCAGATAACATACCTCCCCAATGTCGGATCCTACTGCAACACCCTCAGCAATCACTTTTGAAAGAGCAAAAGCATCCCCAAAGCCCAAATTCACTCCTTGACCAGCCAAGGGATGAACAGTGTGTGCTGAATCACCAATAAGAACTACACGCATTGACGCATAGTTATTTGAATGTGATAAAGATAATGGAAACACCATTCTTCCTGAAACCAACTTGACCACTTTCGGTGGAACTTCAAAACACTCACTGGCTGATGATGTCACATCTGCTCTAAGCCAAGAAAATAGGTCTCCACCACCAAATAACCGAGACTGAGGATGAGGGCCATGTCCATAATCCAAAGCATTATTTACAGATTTCACAAAATTATCCTCACTCATTAATTTGCAGTCAGAAGACTCTTTGGGGTTCATAGTCCACACGATATTGCTGAATTTATCACCCATTGGCAAAAGTGCAATTGGACCAGCAGGTAAAAATCGTTGCCATGCACATCTGTTTTCCACCTCATTTTCTACTGTACATATGATTGCATTTTGTGAGTAGTTCCATCCAGTTGTTTTGAACCCCGCTAACTCCCTAACACGTGACTTTGACCCATCAGCTCCAACCTGTGATAGACATCATTGAACTTGACACCAATCAAAAAATTTACAGATAACAAAATGGTATCCAATTTCTTACCCATAAGAGTAAATGTATAGCTTTGGCTATCATTTTCCTTCTTAACATGAGTCATCACCCAGTGTCGTCCCCATTAGTTGAGGGCACTAGGAGGGGCAGACTGAATAAAGACCTAAACTTTGGCATTATTTGCACAAAGTGGCTGTTCTCAAATTTCCTTCTTACCATGCAAAGTAATAAATGGATATCTGAGTGAAAATTACCACCAATTTTGCATACAGGCTATTGCCATCGCTCAATTCCAGCTTTGCTAAAGAACCATGACTGTTCAATGTTGTCCTTGATGATGTACTGTCCACCTTGTTGGATGAAGAACTTGGAGATAAAGCAATTGATATTAATCTGGAAGGATAGATCGTCTTCTGGAACTCTGTGTTCTGATTATATTTAATTCAGTTAAAAAACAGTATCAATATTGCAATAACAAAATATAATTCACAAATAGAATAACTATGGGATCGTTGTTGAAGTTTCAGCAAGTAAAAGATGATATCGTACATTACAAAATTTTCTGACACGCAATTACCCAAAGCACAATACGTCAGTTAGGGAAGAAGGGTTATATCTCACTAATTATCTACCACAGAGTAACAAACTAAAAAAAAAAAAAAACTAATTGACTCTGTACTACCATTGCAGGAACCTGGCACCATTGATAAGCAGCAATAGGAATATCAGGTCAATATCTAAAAGCAAACCTCCGATTATTACAGCCAACAGACCATAGGTAAGCAAAAAAATCATTTTTCAGGCACCATTTTGCCATAATTTTTAACACTATCCAGGAAGAAGTAATAATAGAAAGGCATTAATCAAGCACGAAAATAAAGTTCTTTATTACTGATAATTCTGTAAGATTGTCCAAAATGAAAAACGAGAGAGAGAGAGAGAGAGAGAGAGAGAGCAAGCAGAATCGAGTGGAGTTTCAAGCCTCAGTCATAAGAGAGCAGAGATTACATGATGCAGGAGCATCAAAGAGCCCTAGCCAACAGGCAGGTCTACTGAGTAAATAAATCCTATATATGCTTAACCTTATTTTAATTTTATTATTATAGGTTGTAACTAGGATCAGCTGTCCTATCTATATATCAATTTATGATTAGTCCATTATTATAGGTTGTTATTAGGAAATTGACATTTATTTTAGGTGGAAACTTGGAATATTAAACACCCTATTTCCCAGAAAACTAAATGCCTTCGTTTTTTTTCTATTTATCAATAGGAATGCAAATTTATTAAGAAGAGGAAGAAGAAGAAGAAACACCTTATTTGGAAGAAAACTAAATGCCTTCATTTTTTCCATTTATCAAGAGGAATGTAAGGAAGACCAAAGAAAAATATAACAGGGGACAAACATAACAAAACAACCCGAAGTGGTGAAAATAAAGGTTGAACATAATAGGAGACAAGCATAAGCAAAATCCAAGAAAACAACCTGAACTGGTGAAAGAAAAGGTACCAAGCAAGAAATTACAAATCTGATCTACAGATTTTCTATAAATAAAGATATACAAAACTCACTAAGGTAAGTACCTGCATGCATGACAACAGAGATCTATGGAGCACCCTATTCTCAACCACGCACCTGTAACAAAAGTCATATCAGCATACCTGCCACGAGTAACTGCAAATTTCAAAAGTAAGAATTGTCTCCTAGCTATGCATGTTCTTACCCTAGTACTTCTTTATCAACATCTCTTGCGTTGTACCTTGTGTATCCTAGGCCAGTATAATCCCATACCTACAACAATTCACCAAGGTATAAATGAAATGGAACTGCATTTTGCCCCAGTGTCATCCAAGTCAGAATAAGCCATTGTGGGAATTGATATGACATATTAACACAAAAATTCTATAGAAGACCATAATATTAATCAGTTGAATTTGAGAAAGTAATAACAATGTACCAGATGAAATTCAAAATGACAGTTCTGAGCAGAGAAGATCACAAAACACAATATATACATGCAAACTGCCAAACAAAGCCAAACGCATGAAGAAGAAGAGCAAAACAGAAGCTGAGTTTCATGACAATGAAACCTTTATTTGTTTATTTTAATTTGATTCGGAAAAACCACTAGAAAAACTATTAGTTTGGTCGACTAAAATAACTCCTACAAGAAGTCAAGCATTGTGGATAAGGGTGTTGACTTTAAGAGATAATCAAATCGAGAGTTAAGTATGAGGAGAAAAAAAAGAGAAGAGGATGAGAGAAAAAGAGAGAGAGATGGGGAAAGAGAGAAAGAATGAAAGAAAATACTTTCATCCTTCCACCACATTCTATTTATACTAACAAGTTTCAGAAATTACACATAAGCCCCAACATTATATAAGTAATAACAAAAACACCCCTGACTAAAAGGGGTGCAACTTGGGTGGGCCAATCCGAACACAACCCGATTTTTCACGGGCTTGGGGAACCAGTTTTACAATTAGGGCTGGGCCGGCTGGCCCTGGGTTGAAAAATCTCAACCCAGACTTAATTAGGGTTGGGCTTGGGTTGAGGTGCCAGCAACCCGAGCCCAACTTGAATCCGAATTCTAAGTTTATTTTTATACATTTTTCAATTTTAATTATATTATGATCAACTTTTCTTTTCAACTTCCTTATTTCAATTCTTAATCTATTGTATGTTAACGCTTTGGAGAATTAATTTCCTAAGAATTTGTTCGTAAATTTTTAGAAACTTGCATTAAATTTAAAAAGTTAATAATAATGCTTAATAATCAAATATGAAACTAACTCAAGATCACATGAAAACTGAAGTAACCCACAGTGTGGATATTAGTCATATGGGCATTGGGCAACGGGCAACCCAGACTTTCTAACCCAAAATACCAGCCCAAGTTGCAAACTCGAGCTTAAAAATTCGAGGATGGGATGGGTTCGAGTTGAGTGGTAAGGGTTGAACATTTCATATGTCGGGTTGAGCCCGAGTTGTACCCCCAACCACCCCAAGTTGCAGCCCTGCTTGTGGATTTCTCAGGTTCTTTTCTATCCCGTCTGTCATCACTTCTTGCTATTGTTCCTGTCCTTCATCAAAGTCCTACTTTTAGTTGCTTATTAAGATTAATTATAGTTTTTCCATCACTAATTTTCCAAGAAACTTTGTGCTCAAAGCAATTGATGTAAGTAGCAGCATAAAAGAATCCACGAGGACCTGTCTGTAGAGAATGCCATTTCCCGATACTGGTCTTGCCAATACAGAGTGCTAAAGGGCTAGACTACCATAAACCTAACCTTTGATATTAATGGCACAAAGCGATTGCCTTAAATTTAAACTAACACTCTTGCTTTTAATAGCACAACCTTTTCCATTGAACTAAACAATGGCCCCTAATAGTAAATGGACACTAAACATAAATATTGCATTTATCATTGGGCTTCTATGACATAGAATCCAGGTGCTTATTCTGAACCTTTTGTGTGATGACTTCAATGCCATAACATGACCCACACACAAGTTCTTGATCATAGATCTCCCCTCTCAAGCTCTGTTACCACGGAAAATTTAGGTAAATTTTTTTGCAAGAATAAAGTAATTTCCCAAAGCTCATTGCAGAATCCTGATAAATTGTCCTCTTTTACAGTAACATATCAATTGAGAAAATGAAACCAGGGGGGTGGGGTGTTGGGAACATTCAGAACACAATTTTCCTGCAACAGTTTCCTGATGAAATAAATGAAGCCAAGAGAAAATAAATCAGATTCTCAGATTGAAAACTAAAGGCCGCTTCCTCTATAAGACTACATAAATACTTTTATGTGCAGCACAAGTAATTTTCAATTGAAATGGTTAAACATTAAGTTTGCCTCAGATTGTCCGAATCATCAAAAAAATAATGTTTCAATAGGTTTCACTGTATGACTAGATCAGCATAGTCTCTTAAACTTGACCATTAGCCATAATAAAGAATAAAAAATTTCTTGGAAGCAAATTCAGAGAGATACAGTTTTTTGTTGTTGTTTGGGGGGGGGGGGGGGGGTGTGGGGGAACATTAGAACAACATTTTCCTGCAACAGTTTCCTGATGAAATAGATTGAAAACTAAAGGCCACTTCCTCTATAAGACTACATAGATACTTTTATGCGCAGCACAAATAATTTTCATTTGAAATGGTTAAACATTAAGTTTGCCTCAGATCAGATTGTCCAAATCATCAAAAAAATAATGTTTCAATAGGTTTCACTGTATGACTAGATCAGCGAGTCTTAAACTTGACCATCAGCCATAACAAAGAATAAAAAATTTCTTGAAGGCAAATTCAGAGAAACACAGGTTTGAAGAGATCTATTTCAACAAATTTAAGGGCAATTATAGCATATGAATGAATTGACAACCAAACTACAACCACTACTACCTGCATCTTATCAAAATAAGCGTGTCGATGCTGTTGAACATATTGCCAAGCACCTACATCTGCAAAGTGGACATTGTTGAAAGGGAAAAAAGTATGTAAAACGTTTATTCCTATCTTTGTAGAAAAAAATTGCACTCTTAAGCATGCTGGATATTTCCATACACAAAGGGCAAGCAGGACATTACTGCCAGAACAGGAAAACTGCACTTAATGTAAGCAAAAACTACAATGTATATAATGCATGCACATGATATACAAAAAGAAGTTAAAACAATTTTTTACTGCAACTTATAAGAAATGGCATAATTCTGTGTATTTTACACTTTTTTGTAACTAGCATTGGTAAGATTTTAGTCATAATATGGAATGTAATTGCTCTTTGGAAGTCTAGCACAGTTCAAATAAGAAACATAAACCAAAGCCTCACAAAGTCCTTATTTCAACCTTGAGCTAAACTTTGATTGCCTACAGTTGCAATAATAAAATGATACATCGCTAAAACTGAATATGATTGGAAATTTGACAATATTTCTTGGTTTTTAACATTTATAGATATTTTACATTCAAACCTACCATTCAGAACTCTGCTTGATGACCATTTTCTTACATGCACATGGTAAGTACTCCTGCCACCAAGTATTCAAATAAACACTGAACATCAAGCTTAACATGGTCATAATTCAAGGAATATTTTTATTTTCTCTTCAATGTTAATCCATGATATAAGAAATTAGTAACACAATCCTTCCATTGGAGAAAGGACAATGCAACATACATGTTAATTAGTTAGAAAATATATACAACTATATATACATATATGTGTGTGTGTGTGTGTGTGGATTACTAGAATAAACCATATTCTTTGGAACAGAATGTTGGCTGATTAAGAAACAACGTATCCACAAAAAGTGAGTGACGCTGCAAGGTATATGACCAAGATAGACGTATGGCAATACAAGGAAGGATTAAATTAAAAAATGTGTACATTCATGAGACGGTTGAAATACAATCCGTTGAAGATAAAAACAAAAAAATGTGTACCTTATGTGTTGCCAGGACCACTTACTGCACTAGAAAGGAATGGTAATATGGTCCACGATAAAGGTAGTACTAGGAAGAGAGGAAGATAAAAACTAGAATGAATTGAGACACTAACAAAAACATATGATAGCATGTGATTTAACTGAGACCATACCCTTAATGGCAAAACAAATTTTTATTTTTTATTTGATAAGTTGAGTATATGTGGATTGCTAGATTAATTGTATAGCAAATAGAAATTAACGAACATAATGCAGGTAGGAAACCACTTCATATTGTCATCCAAAACAACTTTAATGGTCCCTATAGTACGACTGTATGAGGAACAAAAAAAAATGGAAGGAAGGAAGTTAAGTGGCAAAACATATCCCTAGGGAAAGTAAGAGATCTACCCCTTTTATTTAGTTGAGCAGGGTAGCTAAGATTGCTGCATGACCTTATCAATATATCCTATATGTTAAAGGAAGGGTGTTGCATGAACAGCACAAATGAGAAGAGAAATGGGGTTGTGTTTGCAACTTCTTTTCGTTTCCCTTGCCTTTCATTCCTACCAAAGCATGAAAATTCTACTATCTCTCCTTTCTCCTTTCCCCATCCTTTCCTCCTACCAAATAGACAATAAGGTTATGGAGAATTTCACCATTTCTCTTGCTTATATACCGTAAGAGAATGAGAATACTGAAAAGCATCTCCAAGCAACAGCAAATAACTATATGAAATAGTACTACCACACTTGCTATGTTTATCTTAGCCAACCACACATTTTTATATTTTAATAAATATTGTTTTTCCTTTCAACATTTTGTTACTCTATTAGTATAGGGGATCATGAATGGAGCCCCATTAACTGCATGCATAGTCAAAAAACAAGAGATTTTAAAGTTAGCTGAGAACATAACAAACAATAACAAAAACATTAAACTTACTACCTTTGAAAAGAGAAATAGTTGTAGGAGTGACTGTACTGACCCTTGCATCTGGGGGATCCTCTTTCTTGATGCAGTCTCCACTCGTCAAAGCAGGATTGCCATCAATAATGGCAACAGACAACTGTTTTGTCAATGGCATGCTTGCTGCAGGCACACGGAGATTAGAAGTTGCATAATTAGTGCAACTAATTGGTATATGCTAAATAAGAAGTTAATTTCATAGCATTAAAACAGCATTGAATTATTCAAATGCTTTCATTCTGCTCTACTGTAAACCAATTAGTGCCTTGTTGGCATGTCACTAAGACTCGTGGTGAGATGAGACCCCTAATGTATTTTTTGGATAGCTTGAGCTTATAGCAAATCGTTTGTGGTGGGCGCTTTTCTATCAGATTTTAACTAATCAAAAAAAATATAATAATAAAAAAAGAAAGAAGAAGAAGAAGAAGAATATTTTAAACAAGCCAAATGGAGAGTAAAACAGTGAGCTAACAGAAATCTTCCTACCAAGACTAGAGCCTAAAAGTCAACTACAGACAAAATCTCTAAATACAAGGACGGTCAAAAGAATGCAACCTCACCTTTACTTTTATTTCTTCCTTAATTCAAATTTCCTATTTCTTTTGGCCAATATAACAGATTAATAAACTGAATGGAAAAAGTTAGTAAAACCCATGTACAAAAGGAAGGGTTCCCAATTCCACTAATCAGCCCGATCATTGGATGTCCTAGGATCTTAATCTTTGACTCAAAAGTTCTAAGCACTTCTAAAAGTTGGTGATTAACTGATTATATGGCCATGTCCTTGGCATCTTAGCCAAATAACCACAATCAGAGAATCACCTTCAACTAAACGACGATTGAACACCATAAGCACAGGTTCCCCGAAGGCTTTCAGTAGGGCTAAAATCTCTGCGTAAATAGCAAATCTGTTGTCAGTTGGCCTAGAGAAGAGAAGAGTGGTGGTACCCTAGCATCTAAAAAAGTGCCCCATATTTTACCAGAACAGGAGTCCTAATAAAGCAGCAACCAAAGTTAAAGTTCACTCTTCCCATTGGCATGTGTCCGCAGACCAGAAATAACATTAGTCGAGGAAATAAGAAACTGTTAAATCAAGTCAGGGTGAGCATTCTCAAAAGAACTCCTCCAAATAGATTTAGTAATGGCTGCCCACAACCTCAGGGAAAAAATAGATATGACCCCTACCCCAGAGTGCCTCTTCAGTAGATGGCACACCTACAAATATATTTGTTATTCCTTTCAATCAAACAACCCAGATGATTGCTACTCGCACAATCCTGAAACTTAGATCTCTCACTTGCACCAAATTCTCCAAAAAAAAAAAAAAAAACTGAAAGAAGAGGGCTAATGTCCCTAAAAGCAATCCACATGATCTCAGTGACAGCATTAATCTTTGCCAAGCAGTGAAAGAGATAAAATAGCGAAGGAGGTGTCTGGAAGTTCCACTGCTCCAGAGCATCTCAGTAGCATTGACCTTGCTCTCAAATACTAAACAAACCAAAACCTTAACTTTAGACTGCAAAACACGGATATTTCTGAGGAGCTGTGCCCATATCAAATATATGCCGGACACCAAATTTTTCAAAATACTCCTGAACACATGTTTGACACATGTTCTTGGACGTATACTAAAATGTGAACAATGAACTTTGAACATTAAATGCCTCTTTTTTTTAGCATGAAAAAGAAGAATAATTGTAAGAAAAATTAAACAAAGGTATATAAAATTTATATAAAGCTTGACGATATTTTAAAAGCAACGCATATAGGAAGGTTTCATTGAAGAAGAGAGTGTAGATGTAGGAGAGAATTCATCATCTACACACACAAAGTCACAAACACATGCATACTTATTACTTTCTTTATGTGAAAGTAATTATAACAATATTATTTATGAGTTTAATATTTCACATTATAGTTGTATAATATTTATTTTTTGATATAATTTTATTTTTATATATAAAATGTATACTTTATTAATGTTTCCTCACCGCATCTATGTCCCACTATTTTAAAATTTATCATATAGCATGCCTATGTCATGCCATTCACTTTCCCATATCCATATACATGCTTCTTAAACTTTGAGGGCTTTGACTTTCCAAATCATTAGGTGGAGCTGACAGAATGGAAGAGGAAAGTACAGAAATATTATGAAGAAACGGTACCACTATACTCTAAACTCAAATATTTTTAATCTGCAGTAGACACAGATCACACAATCAGACCGAAAAATAGATGTCATTCCAAAGAAGTGAAACCAATCTATCAATATCATGGTCATAAAATCTTTTTGTAGGAATGAAAATATCGAGAGAGAAGTGGGGAGTTGGAGCCTTGGAGGAACTAGATGAAACACAAATCATTAATTGGTGCTTGATGAAGATTATAAATTCTGAAAGTGACGAAATAAGTCCTTGACAGCATGGTCATCCAACCACCCACCAATCCACCATAAATTCTCTAAGAAATAGATCCCAGATCCATTGCCAAAAGTGTATCCAATATGTGGGGAGACAATGGGAATCCTTGGGAAATGGATTCCCGACTCCCGAGGACAAAACAAGCTCCATAAGCCAGAACCGAACCATGACTGAAGAAATTCTGTTAAAATAGGAAACTCTAAAGATTCATAGAAGTGCCAGGAATTTAACAAACATCTTACAATGATAACTATAACATGAACAATGTGGAGAACATTGACTGATTTATGCAACATACTATACCAGAATAGAAATTTAAACATTATGGAAAAATAATAATTGCAAAAAAATTAAAAAATGTCAGCACATTATAAATTGTTAAGTCAAAGTAAGTTATACATAATATAGAAACAAAATATTACCTAGGGAACAAGCTAGAGCCATGCCAACCATGCCGCCTCCAACAATAGCAATGTCATATTGCGGGATATTATTTGTCAAACCATGCTTGTCGACGAACTCCTGGAATGTTTAATGAGCATTCTTTACTTGGATGTAACGCCTCCAGTAATAATTTTTATCATATGGATAAAGGCCGGCAAATGCATGCATGTAAAATTATCAACCGAAAAAAAGAAGGAAAAAATTACAATTTAACAACTAGTGACAACTGACAAGAATCTGTGCATTTGGCAAAATATATTATGACATTGAGTGACAATTACAAGTAAAATGAGGAAATATATTAACCTTACCATGCAGTAAGATATAAACCAAGGACATGAAAGCAAAAGAAGGAAATATATCAATCTTACTAGGCAGTAAGATATAAACCAAAGTCAAGAAAGCAAAACAAATAATTCTCAAGAGTGGGCCTCACAAGCAGAAATAAGTCTCTAGGAGATCCTTTGTTACACCAACATAATATAAATCCATCAATGGACTTGAATCCTTTTCTTTCTTTTTTACTTTTGGAAAAAACTTTGTTTGTAGTTGTTTGCGGTCCAAGAAGGATGGACACGGATATGACACGGATACGACACGACACGGATACACCGACACGTCAAGTTCTAAAAAAATAGGACACGGACATGGACATAGCTAATATAAATATAATTTTTTTAATGTATTTATCTATAGAATAAGACAATTATAGACTTCAATTAATTTATAATTTCTATACTAAAATTATAACATAAGTTAGAATATGAAGCCATTCGAATATAAAAAATACATAATATGTTATATATGATATTACTCTCCGATCATGCCATTATAGTTATGTTTTTGTTCATTACATATTGTGACATATGCTTAATGTGAATTTTTTAAAGAAAAAAAATTTGGAGACTTTGATATATGTTCATAATGTTGTTTCTAGGACTGTCATGTGTTTGATTTATATAAGAGGAAGAGTGTGGGATGTGTTGGTTGAGTGTCCTGAATGTGTTGACCAAGTGTCCGAAATAATAAAAATTATTTTTAAATTATGGACACAATCATGAAGTGTTGGACAAGTGTCTAGGAGTGTTATGACCCACCCCGCTGTGTAGATATTGTCCGTTTTGCACACTCCGCACTCACGGTTTTCAAAACGCGCTTATACAGTTATGAGATATCTACATATATAAGTGCCAATAACCTAACCCCCTAAGCGATGTGGGATGTTGCAAGCAGTGTCTTTTTTTTTTCTTATTTGGTACTCATACACGCATGACTCCACTGAGGCTTGAACCCCTGACCTCCCTTTGGGAAGTAGGGGTTTGATACCGCTAAGCTATTGGCCTATTGGTATGTCGCAAGCAGTGTCCACGAAGTGTCAATGTCCGACACAAACATGCACCTTCGTAGAAGTGTCTGTGCTTCTTAGTTTGTTGTTTTCGTTGTATGAGTCATTTATGGCTTTTAATCCTACCTAAACATTCCAACCTATAAGGTTAATAAAGTTATTACAAGAACTAAGGACATTACCATATATACATACCACTTGCAAAGGATACTGGGTTGGGTCAATTGGAAACAAACCTAGCCTTTGCCATTATTTTGCCCAAAGTGGTCATACTCGGCTTCGAACGCTCATTTTAAAACTCGTCTGTTTGTCTTATATTGTTGCAACAAGAAATCACCGCTAGGTTTTTAAAAAAACTGCTGATTTAGAGAAAACATATACTGCTATAAGAAGTGGAAGTTTAAACTGTGGGTGCATTATAAGGTAGAGAGTTGGATTTGGAAAATTGTCGAAGGCTCAGAGTTTGAGAGTTAAAGGAAGTTTCTATGGTTCATTACTCACTCAGTCAGTTCTGTGAATCCTTTACATGGAAATCTCCTTAGACTATAGAGGATTTGCATAAAAGTTGAAGCTGCTTTCACCTTACGCATATTTCTAGTATATACTATTTTAAAATCTAACAGAACTATTACATGCTACGTAAGACTTCAAAATATCTAAAAGCAAACACCAGGGACCCAATTCCAGCCACAAATCCAGGAGAGGGAAAAAAGTAACTAAATGAGTGGATTAAATGGAGTAAAGCCCAGATTTCAACTCCGAGTCTAGATCAGAGAGAACTCCATTTTGCTGAATTAAACAAATTGATGTTGTACTCTTTCAGATACAATACATAACAAGATAATGACTTCAAGGATTACATAGACTTGAATTCTTAGAATCAAGAAAATTTATTTTCTTATTCATCCATAAAATATAAGTAGCATTTTTATTTTATTGTTACGCCAGGTTGTCCAAACGATTTCACATCTTCATTAACCCCTACTAATTCATCAAGAAAGCATTCTTTTTTAGCTTGAAGGCTACAATTAAAACATAACTGATTTTTAATTTCATGGTTTAACATAGAATATAATATAGGCAGATAATTTTCTTCACCTAATGTCATAAATAAGTGAAATGAAATCTCCCCATCCCCGCCCCCACAAGAAAAGGTTGGTGTATCTCTGTCTATTTACCAAGAATAATTCTAAATTGACACCTAAAATTTGAAGGTTCTTAAACAAAGATATAACATAAGTTAACATAGGGGTCAAGTGCAATGGTAAAAACTCAAGACTGCTAAGTGTGAGAATTGTGGGTTCGAATACTGAGAAGAGCCACTTTGTGCAAATAATGCATCCAGTCTACCCGTCCCAGCACCCTCGATTAATGAGGATTAAAATAGGTAATGAACCTTTGTCTAATTTGGCATGCTGTCATTAAATGAAGAGAAGAAGAGTGGAAAAGAGAAAAAAAATAAAAACAAAAACAAGTTTCAGTCAATACTAGGTAGAAAATAAAAAGAAATAAACATTCATATACAGTGAAAATATTACTTTGCTAGTTTGGCCATGGTTAGAACCAGATAGTTTTACAGCTGTATCACTGCAGAAATTCTTCCGTGCAACTTTCAGCCCGTAGATATTTGAAGTAACCCTACTTGCAATCACCCTATTTGCAGCACATAACGCATTAGATCATTATCAATAAAGCTTGTACAATTTCATTAAAACAAATGCAAAGAAAAAAAAAAATGCACCATGAAGTATAATGAATAAACCAATTTCATTAAAACAAACGCAAAGAAAAAAAAAAATGCACCATGAAGTATAATGAATAAACATTCAAGAAATTACCAATAGTACAACATTTAACCAACCACCATGTAAATTTTAAAACGCTCTCTTCTCTTAACAGAACCTATCTGTGTGTATTATAAATCGATTCAATTCTCCTCTCAACCCCAATAATGAAATACCTAACCTAATCTTGTTACTTTTTTCTTTTTTGAAAAATCTAAGAATGTGAAGGAGGGATCCTTGGGGTCCAAAACCCAATACAATTTTGGGTTTATTTTTTATAAATATATATATCATAACTTTAAGCTCTCGACTTTAATATCAATGGACAGGCTCACTCTGTAGCATACAAATATATAAATATTTGAACAAGCACACCCATGTATGCATACATATATACACATACATGAATTCATGTAAAATTCTGGTAAAAATGTTTCGTAATTTAAAAATTTATGTATAATTACAGCTCAATGTGATCATTATAGTTCGAATTTCTCACTCAACCTTCTAATTTAAATAGAACTGTAATACTGAAAAAGTCGCGATGGTTTCAGATATTGCATTTCTTAGAATTAGATTGTGAAAAATGCTCATATAGTTTCTTGACTATGAAGTTAAAATGCGTACCTGTACATTTTTCGATTCGACGAAATCAGACTCACTGCTTGTTCTTAGAGAGAGAGAGAGAGTACAGAGAGAGAGATTGGGGAAGACATACGTCTAACGCGCGTATGTAATGCAACAATGATTTGGGCTGAGCCTAACTTTGTAGTTTGTTGGGCTCGGCCCCCAAATTGGGAAGGAAAAGTAGCCCAATGCGGAAGAAAGAAGTAGGAAGCTCTTAAGCTGTGGATTCGACATGCTTAGGGCCCAGTCCAACACATGCTATATTCGGTTAAAAGAATCTTGAAATTTAGAAAAATGTGGAGGACAGCAAGGAGACTTTCAGAACATAGCAGAATAATTTTGTAATTAACTTTTTTAGAAGAATGAGATTCCAATATAATTTTTAAATATATTTTGGATTAATTAGTAAAAATAATATAAAATTTTTGAAAACAAAAAGAACAAAAATCTAACTCTAAACTTTAAATTATTGATTTCATTAATGATAATGTAGATATAATGAGCAAAAATTGTTATTTTTAATGTACTTTTGTCGTATCCATGTTGCAATTTTTTTAAAAAATTTATGTATCGCGCATTCATACTTGTGTTCCATGTCCATGCTTCGTAAAATATATACATATATATATATATATGAAAGCCTTCCCAGCGTGATTTTAAATATATATATATATATATATATATTTAAGACAGTACAACAGTTTTGTACTTCATTTTATTTTATTTAGATGAGCAAAATAGCACATTCTTAGACAACTTTCTACAGTCATATCTCTCTAGAATTCTTGCTCTCTCTACTCATTTTTTTTTTTGGTTAAATTGAGGTTTCAATTAAGGTAACAGATACTAATTCAAATATTCAAAACCAAAGGGGTGAAATTGTTGGCCAAAAACCACGATTAAAAAACGTTAGATTCGATTATTCTCTCTTGAAAATAGTATCTCATGGTTATATAGTCTTTTAGCCTAATGGTATCTCTTCTACCTTCCTAGTGAAGGTTTGAGTCCCTAAAAAAATAAAGTGAAATGTGTGAATTTCTTGCAAATGACAAAAAAATAAATAAATAAAGGTAAAGACGATTACTTCATATGCACCTAAACTATTTAATAAAATACTATCAATCCTTAAATCTGTGAACTCTCCAACGACACAACCACACGTAATACAGCTAAACTATCTATTAGTTCAATCATGGCCTTTGTTTCTCACATATAAATTACTGAAAATGTCTTCATGAAAAGTCTAGAAGGAGGCATAATTACAAATTAAAAGTAACTCAGGCGCATGGGCATGGCACAGTTGACAGACACACACACACTCTCTCCACTTGGTAAAGTACAGTGCTGTAAAAAGCAATATAGATCGGGAGAACAAAGAATAAATGCTCTATCTCAAGAGTGTAACAAGACAATGAACATTGAACAAGAATCCCATAAGCAGTCAAAAAAGTTAAGATCACTTCTCCTTTATCTTCATCATATATCCTCCTCACTAATGAGTGCTAGGGTTAAAAAAGCAAAAGAAAACAAATGTTAGTGGAGGAGAGGCATGACCATGATTGTACCCTCCTTATGTATCCACCCATCATTTCCCTATCCCCACCATAAACTCCACCTCTCAACCATAGTGCCCCAACTGCCTAAAATCTCATAATTGAGTTCGGATATCAGTATTGTACTGCATCTGACGATTCGGATCATCCAACACTATACTGCATCCAACGGTTCAAATCATTCACACGCCTGTCAAATCCCAATATTATACAACATTTGACGGTTGACTTAGACATCACCCACAATATTTGATAAAATGACATATACCCTCCCCCTCTCTCTCCTTCTCTTACAATTTCACTAGTTTGCTCTCATGCCAATCCAACACCTAACATAGGGCTTGAATTGGTGATGGTATCAACAAATTGGAAGGATTGAGAGGGGTGGTTTGAGCTTGTTGTATGTACTCCTGGCGGCACCGGCGCATAACAGGTGCACTTCTCTAGTGTGCTCTTGCTATGTATCATCAAGGAGTTCTTATGAGGGTGAAGAGAACAAAAACAACAACAATAAAAGCAACAAGAGATCATCAGTTGGAGGTGATTACAAAGATGGGGTCATGGAAGAAGATTGTAATAATGAATTGAAAAGTGGTCAAGGGAAGGAGATCAATGGAGGAGGAGGCAGCAACTGTAGAGGCAGTGGGTCTAATGGGCCTCACATTGAACCCACTAGGGCTCTCAAGAGTAATCTCAAGAAAACTAGTAGTAGTACAATAGTGGAGGTAAATCAAGCAAGGACAGGTACAAGGAAAGTTAGTTGGCCTGATGCTCATGGCAAAGATATTGCTCATGTTCAAGAGTTTGAGCCAAGGTAGTAGTATATCAACCCTCTACTTTTCTTCTATAATAATGGGCTTGCTTCTGTTTAGATTATTAGGGCCACTATATTGCTGAAATTACATTTGGAAAAACCGAATCGACATTTGTAAATAAATTTCCTACAATTCTAATTTCAAAGTGCCGATTCAGTACTCCCAAACACGAGATTAGGGATGTTTGGTTATATACTTAAAAAAATAAAAAAATTAGATTGACATACTTTATGTGAATGATGGGTTGGTTTTTGTTTATTGATTAAAACCCTAATTCTATAAAAATTGGACAGAACCCCAATAGTATGTTGAGCATTTTAGGGGTCTTTGGTCAGGAAGTTGAAGTTTTGGGCACTAATTTTAACAGGGCAGGCATTTCAAGTCTTAAAGAACTCTATAGTTTATCACTATGCTTTATTTGTTTTGACTTGGTTTGCTACTTTCTCACTCTCTTTCATTTGATCTTATAGTGTGTCAGAGGATGGGGAACTTGAGGGAGTAAGGAACTCTTGTGTGTGTGCAATTCAATGAAAAAGGTACAATACCCTGCTTGTCAATGAATTAATGTTACTTTGATTTAATTTTTCCAATTACTAAATTATGTTTTATCATAAAAGCTTTTCCAAAATGTGTCTTGTAATTCAAAATATATCACTCTCACTCCATCTGCCTACTACCAACTACTAGAGGCATTTAAAGTATAAGAGGCTCTAAAACAAATAGCAGTTCTGGGTAAATGGTGCCCCTAAACTGAATGAACATTAGTAATATTGTGTGTGTGTGAACATTAGTAATATTGTGTGTGTGTGTGTGTGTGTGTGTGAACATTAGTAATATTGTGTGTGTGCGTGTGTGTGTATATTTTTTCATGTCATTCTCATCTAAGATGAAGTCCTCCTAGTTTTAACTCCTATGCCTTAATATAGCACGCTTTTATCATCCTGGCTTCTCACAAAGTTCTCTTCATTTCAACCATTATGTGATAACATTCATGGTTACATATAAAATGTCCCCATTTTTTATTCTACATTGGCTTTGTTAACCTCTATTTCACTAGGCTTTGTTTCTATCTATTTGCAGGTGATCATACTTTGAAGCTTGCCTCTTCAACATTCAATGATATTAGGATTTTTATCGTCTTAGGAAGGCTGTAGAAGCTAACAATTCCATATTGTACTACTGGTTTAGGAAAATTTGCAGAGGATATTTTAAAAATATGCCTGAGAAATGAAATTTGGCTCCAACGCCTGATCGTTTCTTTTTCTCTCTTTCCTTCTATTTCTCCTTCTCTAAGCTTTCAAAATCAACCACGACTCAGATGAAAATTTTAAGCTGAGTGAATGTCATCATGAAGCTGGTCATGCCGTGTCTGTGTGTGCGCGCCGTCAGATATGTCTGAGATGCTTGGTCATGCTGTGTGCGCGCGCGCTCGCGCCTGCCCCTCCTCTCTAAATAAGTTTGAGATGCTTGATCACGGTGCACAAGGGAGTTCTCAAAGACAATTTAAAAGGCAAAGATATAGAATGGCTATGAAGGTGGCCGTATGAACTAACATTAACCGTGTGTGTGGTGTGTGTGCCCCTTCAGAAGTGGAATGGTGAAACAGAATGTGTACAGCAAATAAAGAATGATAATGATTACCAAAGACAGCAATGATCACAGGACTAGCAGCATTGCATAAAAGGAAAATAATAGAGGAGGTTAATGGGTAAAAAATGTCAGTGTCATTGTATCTTTCATCGAGTAAATAGATAAAATAAGTATTTTAGACACAAAGGAAATGCAATGAACAGGAAATGTTTCCAAGACCAACAAACAAGTAGCCCCCAGTATGTCCACATGATAACCTAGAAAATGCAGTGAAATCAAAGGTAGGGTCATGTCAATATTAGAATCACCCCCCCTCCCCCAACACCAACATCTATTAATTATGTTTACACCGAGCTAGGAAATATATATATATATATATATATATATATATATTCACAACACATCAATTTTGAGACTTTTCTAATATGTTTTCCAAGCAAATCAGCCAATATATAAGATGTGACTTATAATGGGGAAAATTGACAATGAATTGAAGAAAACATCCAGTCACCCAACAAAATGCTAAACAGTCCCAAGTTGTGACAAGATAAATAAAATTTACTTGAAAACGTAAAGTGAATAAACAATAATTAGCTTTAACAAATAGCAACCAATCTGTCAGCAGGAAGTGTAGGAATAAAATCAAGAGAAGAACAAGTGAAGCGTACCGAGTGACGTAAATTATGTAAAAGCTTTCCACCAGAAGACAAAAGATTGTCCCAATTTGGTTACAAGCATTTTCAAGAATCACAATCTGGAATTTTTTTTATACCCCCCACAATAATTTAACAGATTTCATCCTACAAAGGATCATAACTTACATAAAATCACGGCCCACTAATTTTTGTTCTTACATAATTGCAGATTAGTCGGATCAATCAAACAATTTGCCCCTTCCTATCTCTCCCTTTAGGAGGCAAATCCTCTTTACAAACAAAGATCTTATCATCACCCCAAACTACTGGTTCTGATTTCTTCCTTTCTTCGATTTATTCCTCTCCTGCATTTTCTTTTTCTTGGCTTCAGCTGTTACCCAACAATAATCCGGTGGGATCACAAAAGGATCCTGAATATTATCGATCCTAGAGCTTGAACCACCATTGGAAGAACTTGGACGGTTGTAAGGGGCTTTTATCCACTGAAACCATGATGAACTTGAGGACTGCATCATTGCTGGGCTCTCTCGGCCTGAAGCAGTTGGACTTGAAGGGGGTGTTGAGAATTCGTCCAATGGCTGTAATTCTTCAAATTTTGTAAAAGTAACCAACACACGAATAGTGGGAATCACAGGGATAGCAACCTGGAAACCATATTGAAGTTCTTAGCAAAGAGGAATGAAGATTCAACAGGAAAAGATTGAATGCTCTGGAAGTTTTTTTAAAACATGAAACTATCCTATTGGAAACACAACAAACTTGGGTTGCCCCAAGTGGTTGGGAAAATGCTTGGTTCAGTTGAGTATAATTAACAAACTGTGCTATGAGATCTCAGAGCTGGTACAATCAACAAAAGCAATACAGAAAATTTAATGCATGTATTCATCAAAGGAGCAGATAACCAGGGTTCCTCCCTAATTTCTTAGTTCTTACATCAGATGAAAAGCTGTATCAATTATAAAATCCTACAGAACAGATTGAAGTCAAAACGTGCAATGGACCTAACTAGCAACTAAAAACAAAAATTTATTTTTCTTTATATATTTTTTGTCTTCTTCTTTTTCTTTTTTCTTTTTTTTTTTTTTTGGGGGGGGGGGGGGGGGGGGGGGGGGGGGGGTGTTGTAGAAAGTAGAGATTTCTAAGCATTCTGGAAAAAAGGAATCATACTTTTTATATTACTAAAATCCCAAAGATGGATAGCAATGAGTTTTAACTTTTTTGTGTTTGTGCGTGCGTATAACAAGCACATGAGTTTTAAGGTACAATACCACAAATGATCTCTGCTCTTTTAGGTTCTTGCTCACAACATGGTTTTGCATTGAACCTTCTATTTTACATTTCCACAACAAAACATATCAAAGAGAAGAAAACTTATCATCACTTGAACTCACCCAAAATCTTTTACTCTATTAGAATGAACAAACAATTATGCTATTTCTATTTTCTACTACCAGTTTGATATTTAGCAAATGGCATGGAATGTACTTTATGAAAAATGTCCTTTCTGTGTTTCAACAAGACAACATTGCAAGCAGTGATTTGGCCATAAATAACACAGTTGGTCATAGAGAACATAAACTAGATCCTAATTCCTGCAAAAACATTGTCCTCGCACATGAACCGCCTAAATATATTCTTCTGTTCTAGCACATTTGGAGCATTACTTCAAGGTCCAGCAGTAGTTCTCATTAACCACTTCTCGTTCCTGTTGCATTGCATTCACTCTCTTCTTCCTACAACAATTTATTGTCCAGAAAAAGTCTGACCAGCATACAGCTACTTTTCACTTGAAAATTAATCCCAATTGACCAAATATGATTTAAGGAACTACAAATGTGTACCCTCACCAAAACTTGACCTCAGACACTTATTAATGTTACTCCTTCAGGAATCCACATTGCAAAAATTCAAAATATTGGTTTTGAATGTTCCTTAATTCATATTGTCTTCTACTCTCTTCCGAGACCTTAACCTGGGGCCTTTTGCACCAATTTTGTTTTCCTGTTTTAAGGGTTGGAAACAAGAAGAAAATATCGCTTACCTCATTTCTGGTGACAGAAGTATTGACGGAATTACACGCACAAAAGAAGACTATCAGGTCTCACTGAATGTAAACTACGTCATTGCTTCCAGATAGAAACACTGAAAAAGCCGAACATGTAAGACTCGACTTATTGGATGGGTTTGGTGGGATTTCAAAGAAGATGTTAAGTCGGTCAAATTTGTACAGGTTAAAAAAAAAAAAAAAAACGTGAAAATTACCCAGACAACTACCAACTAGGTTGATAACAAACCACCAAGTCATTATTCCAGTTACTTGATTGAAATTTCAAGGAGGGGACTTTTTTATAAGGACAGGTAATGTCAGTAACCCAAATTTCAAATGTTTGAAGCTCGGGATTATCATAGCCAACTCCAATTTGGGAGGATAAATTGAATAATTTAAGTCCATGGAAAGGTATTTACACTTGAAACAGATCACTGAATTGTCTACCCCAACCCCGCCCAATCTATTGTTTTATCACCTTTTCTAGACTTTCTTCCTTAAAATTCAATCAAAACATTTTATCAATGTCACAAGTACAGAAAGATCATAGTATTTGTGTCTACTATAGAATGAAAATTATTATCAATGATAATATTTTGAATACGGAGTATATTTTAAACATGTACATGCTGAAATAACCATAAAAAGTTGCAGTAGAAGTAACTCCAAATATTTGACTAAATAGCATTCATGTACAGTATATAAGTTTAATAATCAATTGTACAAATGTTTGATTTTTAGTGATGTATATCTCCAGATATTACAGTCTCATTATTCATCTCAATGAGCATTTCACTTCCTTGTATTGTCTGACTATTGCACATGTTTTAAGGTAGTGTAAATCTTTTCAAAATATAAAAAGATAAGACAAAATAAGAACAAAGGAACAATGATTACTTTAAAACCAAGTATGAAAATCATGAAATCCCGAGGGAATGCTTGATGTTTGACAATTTTTTTGCTTTTGTGTCTCTCGACTTTCTCCTCTACATGAGCCACTATTTTGAACATAAACCATAAATATATAGAATGAGTCCATCGAGTAATACATAATTAGACACCCAGTCCCACCCGTTGCAATGATTACTGGAAAACTTAGAATTTTGAACAAACAGAATTCATGTCATCCTTAAACTTCATCCCGAATCTTCATTTTCTGAATAAGTCTTCATCACATCTTCTCCTTTGGCTGCATCGATATCAGCCTTGCCTATATAGGCCTCGAAAGTGTTCTAACATATTCAGGATGTTATAAAACAGCTAAACGCTTTGGACAACAAAAGGTGGAAGGAATCTGCTCTAATATGTCAATAGAAGGAAGCCAACGATATCTCGTGTATTTTCCTTCAAGCAAAGAAACTCTTCATATCAATCAGTAAATCTCAGAACAAGATTCACCTAGACCAGAAAGAAAGTCAAAAGATATAACAACTCTGCCTGGTCAAAGCATTGCAGCGAATTCATTCCTAAAGATTCACTCCCATCTCCTATATATCAACAATCAAGTGCACAACAACTCTGCCTGGTCAAAGCATTAAAAATAACACTTCTATTATCATCAGACCGCAGCGAATTCATTCCTAAAGATTCACTCCCATCTCCTATATATAAACTATCAAGTGCTCTAATTAGTAGATATCAATTAGAACAAAACTGCCCATTGGTCAATGGGAACATCAAAAACTCATGAGTGCAATTTGCAACAAATCATGTTTTCTTCGAACTTAAAAACAGAATTCAGTCAGTGGACCAAGTTTGAACCACCACACTGTATCATGCAAATAGAAGTCTAAGAATTGCTAGGTTGTAATTAACTTTGGAATATTCTCACTTTTGAATTGCAAGGAAGCTTTTGGGTATGCGAGTGATCAATACAAAATCTCAACCCAGTTCCACTTTTGGATCCCAAACCCAAAATAATAAAGTAAAGAGAAGCGCAAACAAGGGATAAGGTGAAAACAGTATGGGAAGCTAAACATTTATACATATGTTGCATTGAGGAAGTCAAAGCTAGCAATAGGCCCTAACATTTTAAGAAGGCCAGATGGGGATAATTTATTTCAAAAAATTTATGAAGTCGCTGAGAAAACTTATGAATTTGGCATAAAGATCATTGACAAGGGTTAAAGAAGTTGGCAGCTTTGGCAATAATTTGACATTATGGAGAAAGGTCTAGGTTGACACTATGAAAGACATACAATATCTGCATCTGATAGGTGGTTGCCGAATAGATAAAGGTGTGCCTAATATTATGTTTAGTCATTATTGTAACTTCACAATTTGTTTCATGTTACTGATACTATACACTAAATTTGTTGAAAACAACCTTGCAGATATTTCCTAATGCTGCCAAGCTTCAGGAGAAGGGGTTGAAGCATAGAAACAAGCTGAATGTGTTGTTCATGGATGTTCCTACAAACAGTGACATGTCTGCACTCCATGTTCTAGTACTGTCCAAAGATATGGTAGCAAGTGTGAGTATGGTGCATCATCAGGCAAAGGTGTTAATGTGATGCTTCAACACTAGACATGAAATTTGGGTATGTTCTATAGAGATTCAGAAAGAAAACAAATGAGGCAAGCTAGAAACAGCAAGGAAAGGAAAGAATGATTCTGCTGCATCAGACAATGGTGTCAATGTGGAAGCTTCAACAATAGAGAATATTCAGTAGACACTCATTTTGGGTATGCTCCTTACAGTTCAAGAAAAGAACAAACAAGACAAGGTGGAATAGAAAGGGAAAAGGAAGAATGTTTCTGCCGCAAACAAGTAGTCCAACACACTAGACTGCAATTGTGGATTTAGTGGAGGGTAGTATAACCAGACTAATGAGAATCGAGAAAGAAGCACCAACACTTTTAAGAGAGGTGTCAGTATTGGATACTATCAAACACCAATATATCTGACACTCCTAGACACGTTAGACACATCTTGGATGCTTCAAAACTAAAAATGAGATTATTTAATTTCAAACATGTGCTTGAGTGCTTGACACTTCTTAAATGCTTTCCAGCTTGATCAGCATTATAATTATGATTTTCTTATCACATGAAAGAAAGTATAACTGTAAATAATAATTATAATAATAATAAAAGATTTTTGTAATTTATTAAAATTTTGATTGTAGCCAAGGATAAAAGTAGCAAATGTTTTAATATCAAGTACTACTGAGAGTGTTGAGATGGATGGACCTAATACAAACCTAATGTCCCTTGACATTAATTAAGTATGTGCATTTTAATTGTTAAATATATTGGTGAGTAAAAACTTCACACCCCAATACCCCACATGAATATTTCATGTTGGATTTCATTGGTGCAATTGATGACATTCATATAAAAGCATCTTTTCCACTCCCGCCACAAACCAAATCAATGGCATCAATTTGAAGTCATATGCAGATATGCTGCATAAATGTCAATGCAGCTTGTGACTTCAACATGTGTTTCACATTTGCATCGCCAGGCTGGCTGGGAAGGAAGTGTCACATGACACAATTTCTTGCAAGCAATTCCGACGATTCACTTAGCTTTCCAAAACCAGAATGACATTAGTCCTCTTGTGAATACATCAAACTTCACCATCAAGCTTTTCTAACTCTATGATCTCTTTTCATTTATACCATGTAGAGTTATATAATGTGGTATTGTGGTTGATGCTAGGTACCCAAACATGAACCTTATCTTACCCCACGTAAAGGAGAGAGATACCACCTTGTTCCTCTGTGAGCTACTACCACAATATGAGGAAGAAAAAAAAAAATCAACCTAATACATTCTTTACCAAGAAGAGTCATTAATGGGCTTTTGGATGCAAAAAAACATAGAGCATGTAGAAAAAAATGAAACCTGCCTCCTTTTATCATTAAGTATCAAGATGCTGTTATATTTGTATCTATAGCAATTCACTACTTCATTAAATTTAGATGTTGAAATATTATTAGTTGGAGATAGAGACCTTTGGTAAGCTAGGACGACTCTTTGATGAGCTCGGAGTCTCTAATCTTCCGAAATAAGTTCTTGACATATATTTATCAATTATCAAGAGTCGGGTGTTAATGCGTTGTATGGTGTGTTGAATCGTTCTTTTTGTTGTAGTTGAACCAAATTTCTTTCTTTTCTCTCTTAAAAGGATTGTCCTGCTATCTGTCTATCTATCTATCCATCTTTCTATAATATACTACAACCTAACAAAAATAAATCTATAGACACATATGTGCATCCAATTGTGACTCGAACTATAACCCTATCTAGAGTGGAATGATTAAACAACATTCATGCAATTGTCCCCAAATAGTAAGGAAAAGGTCTTGTTGATTTGAGTTGAGTATGTATCAGATTATGTTGCCTTACATTTGTTGTGCTCATGATTGCTTGGGTCTAAGATCCTTGTGTGCTAGTGTTTCTTCATTGGGTCCCATCATCAATTTACCAACCTCCTTGAACATGTGACACTAGGTCGGCATCAGTTCCCTACATGGTCCTATACATCTTATATATTGCTACGTAACCATAATATATTAATGTTCATTTTTTTTTTTTTTTGATATAAATTAAAAAAGGCGTTCAATAGGGGAACGCGTCCCATAAACTAATATATTAATGTTCATTGAAACAAAATATTTGAAAGGTACCAAAGGTTGTAGCCTAGTGGTGCTTTCTCGCCTTCCAAAGTAGGTCAATGGTCCAAGTCCCCATAGGGACAAGTGGGTGTGTGTGTGTGTGTGTATGGATGCACGCATGACTGCATTTATAGTGTGTGCTTAATTGTGGAGATAAAAGGTTACCCAAAATCCTCTCAATTACTATTTCCCTTATTTTCCTATTGTAAAAATCTTATGTCTCCCGCTGTCCCCTAATATTATGTGATAATTAGGTCCTAAGGTTTGATTTATGTAACACAATGCATAAATATCTTGAAGGTAAAATCTGACCAAGCGGAAAGTACAGTGGCTACATTACAAGTTCTTTTTCTGCAAGGGCAATGACACCTAATGCTAAGACCAACTAAATCTAAGTCAGGGTCAATTTCCTCCACACTGTGGCAGGAGCCTTGTGCATGGGGTTTGCCCTTTTTTCACTTTCTGAAATTTAGTTGAACTGTATCACTATCAGTCACTTCAACAGAAACAAACATGAAGATATATAGAAAGTAATAGAGAGGAGAGCGGCCCATGAATTAGTTGCAAAGGGTGCATCCGTGCAACAAACGTAAATCAGAACAAGAGAAGATAAAGAAACTAAACATGTATGAGAATTATACTAAAATGTTTATGTGCAACATACCTTTACTGGAAAGGTCCCCATTGGAAGTTTTGTTGTGAGAAGTTCTCTCAAACGACGGATGGCCTTAACTTTGTTAGCAAGAATGTCAAGCAATGGCAAAAGTTCTTCAGTTTGTAATGGGAAATTTGGGGAAAGCCAGAGAGTAGGCCTCAAGCCCTTCTTATACTCATTCTCACGGCTTCCATCCTTGCGTCGACTTCCACTTTCAGAATTCATAGAGGATGATGTTTTAGTATCCCTTCCTCTCCTGTGCTCATCCCCACTCACAGTAATTTCCATGGAGCGTCTCCCTGGTTTGATCTGACTTCTAGATGGAGAATCACCCAGTAGATCACTAACCTTCTCTTCTACACAAAGTGAACTTCTTGGTGGGGCAATCCTTTTCTGCTCTTCATGTTTAGTATCCCGTTTCCTCCAGCCACCAAACCATCCTTTCTTTTCCTGCTTAGTCTCTCCATTTCTACAATTACTAAAGTCCTCGATGGGAATTTCTCTTTGCTCATAACAACTATGGCGGTGCCCAATAATCCCATCACTATTCTCATTGCTCAAATCTGATGAATCCAACTTAAGTGCAACTTCAAGCTGCTTTTTTTCATCCTCTGTCAGAATGTCATCAAGCTCCTCAGTCTCTGTTTCATTATCATTACAAGATGCGAAAAACTCATCATCTGTCATAGCCCCTGGTACCTTTCTGGATTTGATGCTTACAACCACATTGTGCATATCATAAACCTTAGCCTTCCAAAGGCCCACCATTTCTGTCTTCTCCTGCCGTCTCCAGGTCAATTGTGGCAACAGAACTGCCTCAGTCACATCAATTCCGGGCCTGAATATATTTGTCTGGGACATTGCAGCCACTTCTTGCTGCACCTCAGCATCAGTTGCTGGAGCACCAGCACCGTCCAAAGCATTCATCACCTCCTTGTCTCTGTGTGTGATCATACAAAGTGAACCAGGACGTACCTTTCCATCTTCAGACCCATCACCAAGGAAAATAATACTCTGATCAGCACGCTGAATTCTGAAACCGTCAAAACCGGCCAAGGTCATATCCGCCCTCAAGTTCGCACCCCTCTTCCAAATTTTATAAGTATCAGAAGGAGCAATCCTTGAAATGAAAGGGATGACAGAGCTTTCAAAGTGGAATGTGATTTCCATGTAAAAGTCCCTCATCCTCCTCATAGTCCCTATCAATCGAGGCAACCTTCTGCACCATTTTGCCCAAGCCAAAGGCTGGTAGTGCCTAACTATAATCCTTGCAATCCCTTCCTCTCTATTACAAATTGCTTCTTGGAGGGCACTCCACCCATGTTCATTTTGCAAGCTCCAATCTGCACCGGCAACCATCAGCATCTCGGTTGAAGTCTCGTCACCAAGTTTGACAGCCAAGTGAAGAGGTGTATCACGGTTTGGGACATCACGGCGATCAATCATAGCAGATATTGCATCAGCTTTCTCTTCCTCAGCCAGTGAAGCGGATTCATTACGAACCTCAGCTGGGTCACAAAACCGGGGGAGGCCGGCAAGTATCCTCCTAAGACCGGCATAGTCCTTCATGGCTATGGCCTTGTGCACAGGACTATGGCCATATTTTGAAACATCAACACCCGCCATGCCTCAGGAGTATACAAGCACAGCCCACTCTGCTATATTAACCCAAAACTCAACTGAATCCCCCAAAACTACCAGCAAATGAATCAAATTTAAGAACCCTTTCTTCCAAATCAATTATATATGATGGATACACAACACCAAAAAATTCAAATCCCCATAACACCAACTATGAGAGATGGTAACTTTATTCATTCAAAGCCACCAAATTCAACAAAGAAAACAAATACAGTTCATAATTAGTCAGCAAACATAAGAAAAACCCACACAATCTTTTCCCACAATTGAATCACACCCAGTCCATGTTACACCCAAAAGATACAAAGCAACAACACAGACCTAACAGTTACAGCTCTCCCAAACCGCAAGTACAGAATCTTATAGGGACCCAAAGCGAAAAGATCCAAGAGGGTTAAAGAAATCTCACCTTCAAGAGGCTAATATTGCCCCCAAAAAGGACTCAGCTGCTGAGAACCCCACCACCTCTCAGCCTCTCTCTTCACCTCCTCTGCAGATGGGGAAAAAGAACAGAGAGATCTTTGCGATCCAATCCCAGATCAGACAAACCCAATAACAAGCATGTGGGGGCTGTGAAAAATGTTAAATCTATATATATATATATATATATTGTGTATGTGCATCCAATGAGAGATTAGTGTGTTTGGGAATCTGATAAAAGAGAGAATTTAAAAGATAAAGAATCCAAGAAAGGAATACACAAGAAAAGTATAACACAAAACCCCACCATCCAAGCAGAGGCTACACTGTTTATATGAGAAAGGAATAACACGAAAGGAAAACCGTAAACAGAGACTGACACATACATGTCATGGTTTTAGAGAGAGAAAATCAGAAAATAGAAAATTCACCCATATTTATTGTGCAATAAGATTGAGAGAGAAAATTGTAATTTGAGGAGGTAATTTGGGGATATGGTAGGGAGTTGAAAAAAAAGAGCAAAGGTTCCATTTTACTTTTAGAGAGAGGATTTTATAATTTAGAGAGAGAGAGAGAGCGTTCAAAATGGGAAGGCTGCGTGTGACCCTGGTAAGAGGGAACCTGCTTTCCTATTTCCATTTCTTTTTAAGACTTCTTTTCATTGCTTGGTCAATTTTTTATTTTTTATTTTTTATTATTTATTTTTATAATATATTATTTATATATATACACACACACTATTTAAGATTTGGGAAGCCACATGAGGTCTAAACAGTAGTTAATGGAGGGATAGTTGTAGGGTAGGCCAATGGGTTGTCAGATTGTTAAGGGTAGTTCTGACCTGACCCATCAGATCCATTTGCTCAACACAGAGGTTGGATTTTTGTGACTCACATCCAATCCAATAAATTATAAACCATGTACACTACTGTAGTACTATTATTTTCACTTGAAATTGCTTTAAATCATCTTTTATTGTAAAAAGCTATCATGGGTGGTTCTCACCATAGTCCATGGTTGGTGCCATGGATTCATCACATTAACTTTATTGAATAATTCCTAATTAAATTATTAACGTATTATAACAGCATTATATTAAATGTCCATAATAAATACGTAACGGCTTGACTAGCTACAAAATATATCCTAATTTATTGGTCAATTAAAATAATAGTTCTAGGGAAAAATAATGATTGTATGTGTATACATTTTTTTTTTTCTAAAAAAAAAAAATTTAATAGATTCACATATACCAAGTAATGCATCTAAGAATATATCTAAGAAGCACGAACATTTTTACAAAATATTGTGTTTATATTGTATATAGACACTTCGTGAATAATTCTGAATACCATATCTATAATTTAATAATAATATTTATCATTTTGAATATTTGGTCAAAATATTTTACATCTAATCAACACATTTTGAACACTCAACACATTTTGAATACCATATCTATTATGATATTTTGTTCCATGTATAACCATTTATATGGTTTAGATCTATAATACTTTTTGAGTGGTACCCAATGCAATATCATTTTCATTTAGTCATTATCACTGTGGAGGTTCAGAATTATGCGATTATGGCTAAGTCAGTAGTGTGATTAAAATGAGGCCGATTGAAAAGAAAACAAAAAATCAACTCATTTATGAAAAATAATAATAATAAATAGAAGAAAAATAACAAACCTTTCCTAAATGCTCTCATAATGAACTCACTAAAATAATCAACTGGTTACTTATCTAGCGGTATTAAATCTCTACTTTTTTAAAAAAGGTCATAGTTTGAGTCTTAGTGAAGACATATATGTGTAAGTACACCAACTTAAAAAAAAAAAAAAAAAAAAAAAAAAAAAAAACTCACTAGATGACAATTTTTTTCTTTTTTTCTAATTAAAAATAGTTTTAAGCAATTTGAAGTCCTGATTTAGTGGCTAAGTGAAGGGGTGCTCTTACTAGCTGTATTTATGTTGTTAGTTGTTACTTAATTATTGCTTACTTTCAAGACTCTAGTTGGCAAATTAATATATTAGTAATTAATAATGGATTAATTTAAAATTTTTGTAACCTACTGCGAGAATGCCATATTATAATCTTTTCCGACAACAAATATATATATATATATATATATATCGACAACAAATATATATATATATGTGTGTGTGTGTGTGTGTGTGTGTGTGTATTTTAAACATGCAATATAATTTAGGGTCAAATGCAAAAAATTCCCTAAATTATTAGGATTTTGCAACTAACCCTCCTGAAATACAAGAACCCCCCCCCCCCCCCCCCCCCCGGGCTGGAACTATGATCTTGTTGCAATTTACCCCATCAGCACAGATTTTCGGTACTGAAAAAAGTAAAAGACCTTGCCACCTTTATAACAAAACCACAAAGTTTTAAACTGTAGACTTATGTTGCTAACTTGGAATGTAAAATCTCAAGGACCAATAAAATAAGGACAAGTGGACAACACACCAATAGATAAGGATGTCTATTTCATTGTTTTAGAGAGAGATATAGAAGCAAAAAAGGGTGCAGGGTAACAAGGAGGAAGGTGAAGAAGCGCAAGAGTTGGTACAGGGTAACAGGGAGGTAGATGAAGAATAAAGGAACAAACTTTAAAAAGGGATAACAAGTTGATGATTTTGTTTCTATTTGTAAGTTTTGTGGCGGCGGCAATGTGAATCAGATCACCAATTTCACAGCCTTTGTTTGACCACTCACCAATCGATTTATGTATTTCATTGTGACTTTGACGGCCGCTCTGTCAATTCAAGGTATTTTGAAAATACACCGGAGCAATTCGTCTCAATCAAGTTTTGGATTAAATGATTCAAAATTGAATCTGGAGCAATTTGTTTAGTTTTTGAATTCTGCAGTGATCAAGTCGTCAATGGCGTTACCACTGTCCAAACATCTGGATTTCTTATTCGGTTGGGTATAGTGGTTCATCTGGATCGACCGGCAACGGAGAAACTGCACAACGGCGGAGATGGAATGGACCGACAGTGAAGTGGCGGCAACAACGCTGGGGAAGAAATGCAACGGTGAGCTCAGCAGGCTGGTTCAGTAGTGGCTCGACCGTGGACAACTCGGCTGTAGACATGTCAATGGATCGGATCGATCAAATCCATATCCTATTTGTTAAGCAAACGGATTATCGAATTCAGATCACTAACGGGTTTTCGGACTGAATGTCCCAATCCATATCCTATTTAGCTCGGACTCGGATCGGATCAGATTGAATTCGAAATCGGATTAAATTAAATTTACTAACATATATAATTATAAAGAGTATGATTTTATTAGTATGTGTACTAAGAGATTTGTTAGTATGTGGATGAGAACACCACAATATTTTTATATAACATTATTATTATTTTGGATTTTTGGGTTACCTTTAATACAATTCTAATAGGAGTATTGATATATATATATATATATATATATATATGTGTGTGTGTAAAATTATTGATAAATAATTACATATATATAATTATTTTTATATATAATTTCAATCGGATCGGATCGGATTTTTATCGGATCGGATCAGCATAATCCATATCCGATTTGTTAAGCTAACGGAGTATCGGATTCAGATCGTAACCGAATTATCGGATTTTTTGTTCAATCCATATCTGACTAATCGGATCGGATCCGGATCCGAATCCGCTCCATTGACAGGTCTACTCGGCGGTGGCTCAGATGAAGTGACGGAAGCAGGGACGAGCTCGGATGGTGGAGAGGACTGGCTAACAAGGTGGGCTGAACAGCGATAGGCTGGTTCGCCCATGGTTGACTCGCGGCGATAAGCTGGTTGCGGCTTCGGCTGTGAGCTTGCGAATAATGGCAGCCACTATAACAGCACCACCACCTCCATACAAAATTTTGCCCCAATATTTTTCAAATCTATTCCTTGTATATATATGTTTATATATATACATGCGTGTATGCATGAAATTGGGTTAAGGTTCACTATTGCTCTGGCGGTGGTTGGTCTCGCTCTTGGTTTTTATTACAGCTGTAATGACGGTGGTGGTTATGGTAGTGGTTGTAGATGGTGGTGATGGAAAATTTTATGAGGGTTCCAAAAAATTTAATTTGTCTGTCATAGGAGAATCACACACTCATTTTTGGACGGCCGATAGCTGGATGATTGATTTACAACAAATTTGTATAGTTCGGGGGGTTTTTTGCAATTTTGATAGTTTAGGGGGTTAGTTGCAAGTTTCCTAATAGTTCAGGGGAGTTTTTTGCATTTAACCTTGTAATTTATTATAACACTACTAATTTATAATATGATCCATGAAATAAAATTTTACTTTGGGGTAAAATCACAAAACCCCCTTTACTATTAAATTGGTGTAAAAAATTCCCACTAAAATTAAAATAAATTAAAAAAATGTTATCAAGTTGCCCCCAAATCGATATAAAATGACAAAATCACCCTTATAATTTTATTGTTAAATTTAAAACTTATAATGTTATTATAAGATTACAAGAATACTCTCGAGTCTTCTTTCTCAACACCATCTCTTTCTAAAACTCTCACCAAACCCAACATCACCAATAATAATCAATTGTTGGTAGCATCGATTCCACCACCACCCAACACCCAAACCAGACCCAACACCACCAACAATCAATTACAATGTGGTTTCCACCACAACCCAAACCAAAACCAAACCCATCACCACCAACAATAACCATGTATTCCACCACCACCCAATATCAAAACTAATTGCACCACCATCCAACTCCCAATCCCAATAGCAGCAGTTAGGGACACCACCAGTGCGTACCACCCACCACCACCTCATTTATCGACACCAAAATAGATAAAATCAGAAAGTTTCAGAATTATCACCCCTAGATATATATTCATAATTCACTTTCATCATGTAGATATAATATATATATGCAACAAAACAATAATACCAAAATACTGATCAATTGATACCATATATAACTGATAAACCAACATTCAAATAAAAGTTAACATATATATTTTAAGCATTGCGCTCGTCTACGATCATCAACGGACTCATTCAAAGCCGAGTCAGGGACGTAATTGGGGACCAATCGTCTGTCGATATTCTCGCCTTCTTGATCTCATCATAGGCCTCGATGTCGAACTATTTGTCCCCGAGGATTGACCGATGACGCTGGGATCATCACCGTTGTTAGTGTAAATCTCCCCGTCAATTATTTATTCTGAAGGTTCCTTTTCGCCGTCCACGTCCATGTCACGGCCTTTAGGTTCTCTCTCTAGTGTTGTCTGTGACTGTATCTCTCCTCTTTCTTGATATTATCGCCTTCTTAATCTCGTCGTAGACCTCGATGTTGAACTGTTTGCCATTGATGATTGGTCGGTGACGTTGGGGATCATCATCGCCGTTGGTGTAAATCTCCCCATCAATCATTTCTTCCGAAAGTTCCTATTTGCCGTCCTTTAGATTCTCCATCTCCTCCCTCTATCTTTAGTGTTGTTTGTGGCTATATCTCTCCTCTCTCTCTAGTGTTGTATGTGATTGTATATTCTACCTAAATGGGTTTGAGTTTTAGAAAAAAGATGTTGAGAAAGAAGACTCAGGGGTATTTTTATAATCTGCC